GGACACTAAAAGTTATTGTGAGTCCATAAGATTCCGGAAGATATTCCCAGAATTTTTAACCTCTTGAAGAAAGTGTGTTAATGCGTTTAATATCATTTCCCGTGAAAAGTTTAATGGCCGTGAATAAATTTTTTGGACAATGAATTCCCCGCAATCTTGAAAATAAATGTCATGCGAATCCATTAATATTTTCTCTCTTTCTTCAACAGTCCATAAAAATATTATTAAAACAAGTCACGCGAAAGAATAACATTTGATGCGTTTAAAATTTCCTGCCAAAAACTTTAATTGATCAGAATTAATTTTCCTGCAAAAGAAATGTAAAAATAAATTTCATACGGTTCAACGCATATTTTCTGTTTTACTTTAAAAGTCATTAAAAAAATTACAGTAGTAAAACAAGCGACGAGAATGACTTCAATTGGCTGCGTTTAAAAATTATTTCCCCATCAAAACTCACAAGCGTTGAGAATTTATTTTTTGGCCAATAGTGTAAGGTTTTACCAGTAAGAATTAGATTAATCAAGCCTTACACCTTGATTGCGGCTTTTTAGCAGAGTTTTCAAGACAGAGGAGAAATAAATTAGAACACGGCAATTGGCCGGGCGCGAATACATTTAATTATAGCTGAATAATTTTGTTTAGGAGGAATTGAAGTTCAGGAGGAATTAAAAAGTTGAAATATAAAGGCAATTTTAGTTTAATATTTTTTTCCTGGAACAAATTAATTTTTTTATAATGTAATCTTAAGGGAGATAGGGTTTCAACTTACGACGGCCCCATGTTATGACATCCATCCTGGAACGGATTGATGACGTAAGATGGGGGCCCACTGTACAATAAAACAATGAGATTGACTTAAATTGGCTGCGTTTGAATATTATTTCCCACCAATAAGCGTTGAGAATTAATTTTTCGACCACTGGAATTTTCTCAAAGCTTAAAGATAAATGTAATGCAGGTCAATTCCTATTTTCACTTTTTCTTGAAAAGACTATAAAACTAGCATTAAAAAAACGACTTAAATTTCAAGCGTTTAAAAATAATTTCAGGTGGAAAACTGTGATTGATCAGAATTATTATTTTTTGCCAAAGGAGTTTATTTCAGGTTTGAAAATAAATGTGAGGCTTATTCTCAGTGTGCATTTTCAGCACTCTTTGACAGTCTATAATCTTTACAAATAGCATTCAAACAAGCAACAAACAAGACATAATTATGATGCATTTGAAAAGTATTCTCCATAAAAAATCTAATAGTTCAGAATGGATTTTTCATTGGCCAAAGGAATTGTCTTGAGGTTTGAAAATAAATGCATGCTTTTGATATGCACAGTTGTCAACTGCAGTTACATCTCAGAGAAAATTGTGTACGTTTAACAAGATTCTCTTAAATACCTGTCGGTTATTTTTGTCAAAGATTGTACAAACCCTTGTTTGTTGTGAATAAAATATTTTTATAATATTTGAAGTTGTTTTATTTAAAGACAAAAAAAAACAAATAAGGAGGACAACTTACATTTTACAGCATGATTAATGTGTCTGGTGATGACTTCTTTTGGATCCAGGTCAGAACTCGCCCAATGACTCGGCATGTAAGCATGTTCTCGGCTCTGTCATGACAAAATTAAAATATTACAAATATACACAATTACTGTTGGAATTTCTGAGATCAGAAAGAATTTTCAACTGACCTCAAGGTCCACGCATCCGCACTTCATGGTACTGCTGGAATGTTCAGCCCTGCAGCACTTTTATCAAAATCTAGAGAATAATTCTCAAAGGAATCCAAAATTTATTTTTAATCCTATTATGATACAATAAACCAATTGAAATGCTATTTTTTTAAACAACTGAAACTGGAACAACAACAAAAAAACACCGATGATGAAACGTAGAGTCGGTTTCATTTCATTTTTGGGACTAGGGTTCACTTTTATATCAAGATATTTTTTTCATGTTCAAACAGTATTTGATTTATTGACTTAACTTAAATTCCAAAAAAGCGTTCAGTTTTGCATCCGAATATTTCAAAGGTGCAAACGGTGTTTGATTCATTGACACTCGTTCCATCATCAGCATTTTTCATTTACCATAAAAAAAAACACATGTGGAATTTAGTAGATGAAAGTAAAAAGCGTTTTATTATTCATCCCGATCCGACATTATTTACAATAATTTAACCCAAAATAAAAAAGGTTCGTCACAGAATTGTGGAATACATCATTAATTTTGTGCTCCGTTTCGAAAATTAGCTCGACAATACAAATCTGGTCGCCTTTGGTATAGAAAAGCCCAAAAACAGAATACTAAATATGATCACAATGATCATGATCAATACAACCAAGCTGTGCACCATGGAAGGTTCATTTTCAGGGTCTTTGTAAAGGATCAGCAGGCCAGCCTGTAAAAGTGCAATGATTCAAAATTAAAACAATTAAATTTAAAGATTAAAATAATTAAATTGTTTTAAAATTTTGAGGAAATATTTTTAAACCAGGGAATTTAGTCTTTTGAAAAAAAAATGCTGAGGCTAAAAACCAACTAAGAAATACAGTTGGACCTTGATAAGCTGACCAAGCCAAAAATCTGTTAAATTTTTGCTAAGCCCTCATTTACAATCCCTAAAGAGCAATTTAATACAGACCTCTCCAACTTACAAACTTTCCCCTCAAACCTCAAAAAATTGAATTTTTGAGTTGCATTTTAGAGTATTATTCTTGGGACCAAGGACCAAAAAAATTGAATAAAGGCGCAACTTGGTGCTATTTGAGTGAAAGACTATTTGGGTATATTTACACAGACCACAAATTTCAGCCTGAAATCTTTGTTACAATTTGAAGTTACAAAACATAATACATGTGGGGCCCCACAATTTGACCCTACTCTGCTGCAGGGCAAGGGTTAAATTGCAAAGCAGTCAAATTGCAAGACAATGTAAAATTCAATGTTTTGTAAGACATATTTGATATTTTTGAGTGTCTCTGCAGGTTGATTTGCACATCAAAAGGGTCACATTGCAAGTCAATGACCAGCAAATTGCAGGATGGTCAAATTGCAAGGTACCACTTGTACTGTAATATCAAAATTATTGCAGAAATTTTCCAATTGTTTGCCAAACATGAGAAATGATGCAAATTTGCACAATTAAATTAACTGTACTATGCATGGAAAATGTTATCCAAACATGCTGAAAAGTTATCATCTGAGGACCCCAATTTACTTTAATGCAAATGAAAGAATTAAGAGTAAAAAGAAAAGAAAATCAGAAAAGGGGGCCAGAAACTCACCCATCCTCCCTGAGAAACAATCCAAGCAGCCAGATCTTGCTCCATTATGTCCCCAACAGCCTCAACCAGAGCTGGTAAAAACTCAGGATGTCCCTGTTTCACACAATCCACAGCAAGCCCACCAGTAACCTGGAAAACCAGGGGAATAACCTTTCTGAATAAGGTTCCCATATGATTTTCTCACACATACACACACACACATACAAATACTGCATATGTATGAGGTTTGGTTCATAAGTTTTGAGACTTTTTTGAATTAGAACCAAAAGAGTTTTAACAATTCCTTTTAAAAAAAAACTCATGTAATGTAACACCATCATTTGGCAACGCTTCAGAGCTGTTCAAAACAAATCCAACAATACAAAGCATTGCCAAAAATCGAGTTATGCTAATTGCATTAAAAATGTATTGAAATTGGCGGAGAATATGTTTGAAGGCACTGAAGTGATGCTAAATAATAAAAGGGGTATGCGATTAAAATTTTGCTTGGATTTGTTGGAAATGTTTTGGAATTGTTTTCATGCGACAAATCCAACAATCAAAACAGTGCCAAAAATCCAGTCTAGTTTATCGCATGAAAAAAATGCATTGAAATCAGCAGAGAATATGTTGAACAACACCAAAGTGTTCTGCTATTTGCGAGTAAAATTTTACTCATGGAATTGTTGAAACTCCATTGAATCTACAGTATTAAAAAAAAAAGGTCTCAAAGCTTACGAACCAACCCTCTTTAAACACAAAAAAATTTAACCCAATTTTCATTTGCTTGCTCACCGCATACAGTGAAACAATCCGACTCCAAGTGATGTCCGCCTTGAACAACTCGGCCGCGATCGCGATCAACACACTTCTCAGCACCTTATCCGACGTGACAGTGATGGACAGCTGCCTACAAACTGAAATATCTTTCTTATGTACAGCATACACATAAATTTTTCAAAATGGGAATTTTTTAGTGTCTCAGAATGCAGTCCACCTGTATTTATACTGCATATATATTATTAATGTCATTTTTAAAGTATCTTCTCAACTGGAATGAATACAAATATTATCACAGTTGAACCTCTCTAAGTCAAATTTCAAGGAGCCAGCAAAACAAATTGACTCAGGGAGGTTTTGAGTTACCGTATTTACTCAAGTACCATGCGCCCTCGAGTAAGGCCCGCACAGGGGTTTTTCTTTTGAAAATTTTGCAAAAATCTTATCCCCAAGTAAGACACGCTCCCCAATTTTTAGTGAATCTAAAACCATACAATTTCAAAAATAGAAACCAAAAATTTGACTTTGGGCATGAAATGAACAAAAATCTGATCAATTTTCAACTTTTTCAGTACAAAAAATGTTTTCTTCTTATATTTACTCTAAAGTTCTCCATTATAATCAAGTGTAATGCACACATAACTTCCTAAACTTCTTGAAAATTTTGTACCTGCTTATGACGCGCACCCCTTTTTTCTTCTGAAATTTGGGAAAAAAGGTGCACGTGATACTCAATTAAATACGGTATATAGAATTACAGTACAGATTTTTGACTTATAGAATCAAGCATTTTTATTGTGGGAAACATTCAAGAATTGCACTTAATTGTATACTTTGATATTCTGGGTCTTTAGTTCCTTCTCAAATGAGTTGACAGGATGAACTTGGAGGCAGGGGTTCATTTGTCCAATTTAGTCTGTCACATCCTTTCAAAGCAATTCAATTTTTACTGCTTTTTCTTTCCTATTTCAATAAAATAATAACTTATATGCCTCAAAAATTTTGACTCATGGAGGTTTCATAGGAAAAGTTTTTCCATTAGGTAGGTTTTTAATGCATTGTTTTTAGGGGAATTCAAACAGGGACCTAAAAACATTTGACTTAGGGAGGTTTGACATGTTAATACAGTACTGTATCTAGATTCATGTCATTTCTTATTTTTTTATTTGTAAACGAATTGATCATCTATGGGATTTTTTTTAGCTTTGGCCTACATTTTAAATTGAAAAACCAATTGCAGGATCCTTGTTAATAAATAAAAGTATGGTAACTTACCAGATGAATACAGCTTGGGATGCATCCGCTCCAGCTCTTGTCCCAAAGCCAGAAGTTCATGGAAAACCTGGCAAAAAAAAAAAAAAAAAATATATATATATATATAGCTAGTATATATAGCTAGTATATATAGCTAGTATATATATATATATAAAGGAGTTCTAATACAGTTGGGGTCTCCAGTAACAAACTTTTGATCTGAACACTTTTGTTTGATCCTTGGCTAAAAACACAGATATGGTAAAATTTTTACCTCCAAAAAGTTCAGTTTTCTCTTGGACCAGCTTGGCTTTTTCCACAATCTTGGTTTGTATTTGGTAATTTGCATTTTATTTTGAACAAATGTGTCTTGGAAAAGGCCTCCAATTTCATTTTTGCAGCACTAATGTGTACTCAATTTAGATACATTTTGTAACAAACTTTCCACCCAACTAAAGTACAGTTGGTATCATTCTTTTTGGTTTCTTTTGTAAAAAAAACATATGGGCTTTATAGAAGTGCTCAGCAGAGAAATATCCAACATTTTCTATAAAACTGTTCTTGAGTGTAAGGAAATAACAACGCTAGTTGGAATTTCCCATTTCCATGGGCTCTTTCAAGGTTCTAGGACCAATTGAAATGACTTCTCCATTATCTTTGGGGGGGGGGGATGTGATATCAGCTAAAGAACAATTCAGCTGAAAAACGCTTCTGGGGAATAGATTGACTTTTTTTTAGCCACGACCCTATACTCATAAAGAAAATATGATCATGCTGTGAATTAAAGGCTTGCCTCACAAATGACAATCCCGCCAGGAATGTTGGCAAGACTGCGCAGTCTCTGGAGTCCAACTAATTTGCGCAAGTGGAAAAACCCACTGCGCTTCAGTCTGGCTCTGATGTACTGACTGGCCAGGGTTTTGCTTTGGCTGGCAATTTCCATGTGCTTAAGATTGGGCGTCCCACCGCCATAATAGCCAGTGCCAACTATTCCAGAGCCACCAGCCAAACCCCAAATAGTTGTGGAAACCTATAAAAAAAAGCAATTACCGTAGTTATTACACTTGAAAATATCTTCAACAACTCCAAGTCAAATTTCAAGGGACCAGCAAAAAAAAAAATTGACTTACAGAGGATTTTGACCAAGAGGGAAGCTTTGAGTTATGGATGTTTGAGCTGTGGAACCAAGCATTTTTGTTGTGGGAAACATAGAATTGCACTAAATTGTAAACAGTAATATTCTGGGCCTTCAATAGCTTCTAAAATGAGTTGAAAGGATGCTGAACTTTGAGGCAGGGGTTCCCATCCAACTTCAAAGAAATATATTCACAGTATTCCCCATACAAGGAAACATTCTCCAATTGATAGAAAAATCTTGTGGATACATCAAAGATGAAGTCAGTACTTGCTTTAGGGGCACAGTATAAAATGCCATAATTTAAATTCCAGAATTTTAAAGCAGACTGGTTTTGGACAGAAGAGTTGCGCAACAGATAGCAAGGTCAAGTTGGTTGCTTTGCACTCCAACTCAAATTAAAAAAAAAAACCTTGAGTTTAGGTCAAGAGAGAAAATGAGCATACATGCCAACTTGAAATCAGTACACTGGCATACATTAAATAAATCAAGTAATTTAGTAATGGATTCTACAAGAAAAAATTCAGCTCACAGAAAAAGTTATTCTTGAAATACAAAATTCAAAGGTTTAACATATTTCCCTAAATCAACAAAAGAAATCCAACATGGAAATTGTTTCCAATTTTCAGTTCAGGGAAATGAGCAGGAAAATATTTTACCCTTTGATTTCAAGCCATGGAAAACAAGACTAAAATCATTCAGGAACAAATTAGTTTCATTATACAGATGGGCTTCCTGCAGGGACTTGAGAAACAATAAGCTTTGTTGACTCATGTGAGTCTGGCAAACTTTGAATACTTCCGGTTACTTTAATATGTATTTTTCCTTAGTTCATAAGGCTGAATTCCTTTTTTTTTACTTAAGCATACACATTTCTCTGGTATGCTTCCTCCTGATTCAACGCATTAATTAATTTCCAAACTGAGGGCTTTGAACACTGCAGTGAACCCTTAAAAGTGCTGGTGACAGTTACAAATGGTAATGACTGTTCTCTAAATTTGGTTTCTCCTTCTTTGATTATATTCTGCACTAGTTCCTGAGACACACATCCTGGCCCCAAGACCTGGATACTCATCTCTGAATCTGGAATCATGTCATGATCCCAATTTCCAAAAGCCTATATATTTCTGCTCTCACTGCAATTCCTCCGAAGAATCTTACCTGAGAATCAAACCTGAGACTCTCGCAATTGTTCTCAAGGAGACTTGCAATAATTTAGCAAGACTTCTTTAATTTACTTATATTGTCTTGACTCTGTTTGTGTGTGTTTGGAATATGAGTGTGATTTAGAATACCAAAGAAAATATATCAAATATTCATATTTTGTATAAATCAAGTGTTTGATTTATTGACGCAACCAAGGAATATATTTAACACAACAAGTTAAGATAACAGTGCTATGCCATCCCTCAACTGAATTATTAGTTCTTGGGATACCTTCTTTCAAACAAAGAAAATAAATATTTCAATTTTAACAGAGTAAGAAAATAAAACCCCAGATGAATGAGATTAAATCATGACCTTATGCCTATAGTTAAGAAGGGGAAGAATGTGGGAATTTTTTTCCCTGAATTTTTAGTCAGTTCAGTGGCGAGTTCCACCGACACGGTATTGCTGTCATTGTATTTGTTATTGTCAAACGAGATTTTAAAAGTACTATATGCCATCCCTCAACTGAATTATTAGTTCTTGGGATACCTTCTTTCACACAAAGAAAATAAATATTTCAATTTTAACAGAGTAAGAAAATAAAATTCCAAATGAATGAGATTAAATCATGTCCTCATGCCTATAGTTAAGAAGTGGAAGAATGTGGGAATTTCTCCTTTTCCTGAATTTTTAGTCAGTGCACTGGCGAGTTTCACCGACACGTTTTTGTTGTCATGGTATTTGTTATTGTAAAACGAGGTTTTACTGTAAAAAAAAAAAAAACAGTAGTAACTCACCTTTCGCGACACGGCGTCCGTGACAGTGCTGAACTTCCTCTGAGTCGTCGCGCTGATTTTCCGCAGCGCCGACGACGCCGTCGACGACTTATTGGTCGCCGACGACCCGGGGTCGCCTCAGTGCTATGCCATCCCTCAACTGAATTATTAGTTCTTGGGATACCTTCTTTCACACAAAGAAAATAAATATTTCAATTTTAACAGAGTAAGAAAATAAAACCCCAGATGAATGAGATTAAATCATGTCCTTATGCCTATAGTTAAGAACGGGAAGAATGTGGGAATTTCTTTTTTTTTTCCTGAATTTTTAGTCAGTGCAGTGGCGAATTCCACTGACACAGTATTGCTGTCATGGTATTTGTTATTGTAAAACGAGATTTTAAAAGTACTATATGCCATCCCTCAACTGAATTATTAGTTTTTGGAATACTGTCTTTCACACAAAGAAAAGAAATATTTCAATTTTAACAGAGTAAGACAATAAAATTCCAGATGAATGAGATTAAATCATGTCCTTATGCCTATAGTTAAGAAGTGGAAGAATGTGGGAATTTCTTTTTTTTTCCTGAATTTTTAGTCAGTTCAGTGGCGAGTTCCACCGACACGGTATTGCTGTCATTGTATTTGTTATTTGTTTAACGAGATTTTCCTGTAAAAAAAATATAACAAGAGTAACTCACCTTTCGCGACACGGCGTCCGTGACAGTGCTGAACTTCCTCTGAGTCGTCGCGCTGATTTTCCGCAGCGCCGACGACGCCGTCGACGACTTATTGGTCGCCGACGACCCGGGGTCGCCGCCGCAACCCGCCGCCCCCACAGCCGACGACGACGACGACGCCAAGCCGGCGGCGATCGGACTCAGTGGCGGCAACGGACGCTGCCACGCGTGGCTCAACATGCCCGTAGGAAACGCTCTGGACTCGGAAATACTGGCGACAGTGTTGCCAAGCACGTGTTGTTGTTGTTGTTGTTGTTGGCCCGACGACGACAAGTGGTGGTTGTGGTTGCGGTGGTGGTGCTCGGGAGGTAACCGGGGCTGGTAGTTTCGCCCATGTGAGTGCGCCGCCATGAACGGGTTGTTGCGCCCCTGGAACCCCGGTCGCCGCCGCAACAACAATAATAATAACAATAATAACGGCGGTGGCGGCGGCGGGTCGAACAAGTGCTGGGTGTCCCAAAGCGGCGGCTCGCGTCGTCCCGGCATTTTCCACCACTCTCTCTGTCTTTCCACCAACTGTGGAGAAGATTTCGTCACTTATTCAGTGGGACACAATATTGGAGTACAATTGGCAAAAAAAAAAACTAGAATACAGTGAGAACCTGAGATGTGGACGTAATTGGTGCATTGAGTGTCCCTAAGTTGAAATGTCCTCAAGTTGAGTCTCATTTTTTGCTTAGACTTACATTATATAATTAATGTTAACTGAGGATCCTATAGGGGTCTGGGGAACTTTAATAAGGACATTGTGTAACATGTGTCTGTGGCACCACTTTTAGCAGGTTTTCCTTGGCATGGAAAAAAAATTAGGGTGCAGTGAAACGGTCGCGGAGGTACCCGGTTCAATCCCACCCCTTGGCACATTTTTTTTTTAGAAAATGTTTCCTATTTTGATTTGAACTTCCTCCAGCCAAAAAAATTCCAAATTTGTAGAAATGCATTGTGCATCCAAGAAAAATTTTTTTTAACTTTAACGAGGTTTTTATAATACTCAATTTGAACTTTCAGGTTTAATTTTTTGTTTTCCAACCTTCTCAATATAAAAATTCACCATATGATTTCTGCTCAACAAAACTCGACCTTTTTTATAGGGTGGATGCGCAATGAAGTTCTGCACATTTCCCCACTTCCAACTTTGAAAAATTCCAAAAATTGGCTGAGATATAAAAATGCAAACCTTTTTCAAAAAATTGAGTGAAAAATGGGAAATATTCCTTTTTAGATCTCAATTTTTAACTGATCAAATTGAAAACCCCATGTAGAGCGTCCGCACTGCGGACGCTCTACTACTAGATTGGTGTTTTATGTATAAAATACTCATCATAATTCCATGAAAATAAAAATTGTCTCCCAATTTTAAACTGATTCCAATCAATAAATTTCAACACAATATGGGCATTTGGGGAATTGAATACTGATACCTCTGTATACAGTACATAGAAATGTTGGCATTCTCTGAAAAAATAATATTCAAGTGAAAAAAAGAGAAGGAAGTCCCTCTCTGCTGGAGGTAATTTTTTTAATTAGCTAAATGGATGGTAAATAGGTGAGATAAATGCCAAAGAACTTTTCTTGCACGAATTTTAGGCGGTTGGAATTATCTGTTTCTTGTAATTTGGCCTGAAATGTATTTGCAATTTTTAAACAAAATGTCCCTATGTCGAGTCAGTGTCCTCATGTCAGGCCTTTTTTATAAATTTTTTATGATAAAATAAGCATCCCCATGTCAAATTGTCCGCAGGTCAAGGTGTCTGCATGTGGGGGTCTCACTGTACTTGGGGTTACACAGTTCCACGCGGATCATCTCGTTATTGCTGCTGTTATTCCTATGCTGAGGAAGCTTCAAAATTCAACACAACTAACTGGACATTTTGTGGTCTGTTTTTTTCAACACATGGATCAAAAGGGCTGAGAAGTGTGTACAAACCGGTGGTGATGACATTGAAAAGGTGTCAGCCTAAAGCCTCTTAGAACTGTATAGCAATAAGGAAAAGAAAAATGTTTTAAAAAAATCTTTGGTGCTTACATCATTTCAAGTCCGCGCGGAAACCTGCAGCCCCTCACATAATAAAAATATATATAGTTGAACTTTGATAACTGGAACCTCCCCAAGTCGAATTTTTTTCTTCTATAGTCCCTGTCTGAATTCTCTTGGGGGAAAAATGCATTAAAAGCGACTCTAACTCAAAGACTTTTCCTCTCAAACCTCTGCATTAATTGACATTTTATGAGGCCTTTTGACTATAATTTCCTTGACACAGGGAAAAATAAAAACAATAAAAGTAACTTGATGTGTTCTGAAAAGAAGTGAAAGACTAATGGGGCAAAATAACCCACTGCCTAAAATTTCAGCATCTGCTGACTTATTTGAGAAGCAATTTAAGGCCCAGAATATCACCATTCACAATTTCCTGCAATTCTTCTATGTTTCCCACACCAAAAATGCCTCTTTTCAAAATGAAAAACAGTTTCAAGTTTATTTTTGTCAGTTCCTTTGAAATTTGACTTTGAGAGGTTTAAGTGTTTGTCTGTTCAAGGAGAAAATAAAATACAGCACAGTACAGTGCAGTTGGACAAGGAAAGAATCAGTGACTTTTGAAGGAAATAAACACTTTTTTTCCAAATATACTTTTGTTCCCTCTCATTTTTCAAGATCAGTGCATTACTAGGAGATTTGAAGCTAGGCAGGTTTCAATACAATGAGAATGTGTTCAGAAATTTTGCATTTAATTACATGAAAGAGATATATAAATTCAGTATGTTGGAAAAGTCTTCTATTACAGTCTGAAAATAAAATGAAGTACAGTAGAGTTGGAAATTCCTGAATCAACGGAGAGACTTTCATTTCTTTGTATATATTAAATTTAAAGAGATTACAACAGAAAAGAACACGTCTTTTTTTCCTTATTACTCAACAGAAATGGTGTTGTGTAAAGTTCCGGGTTATAAATTAACGGTAAATTTGCAGCAAATGTGTCCAGCTTTAGCTCCTCCAACTCAGAATATTTCGTTTCATTCTTTTATTTTTTGTTCCATTGAATTTCACTATGAAAGATCTGTCTGTATAATATTATGAAAATGAAATTTTGTGATAAAAAATCTCGTTTCAAAAAAGTTACCGTTATAAGAATTGTTAAATACAACGGATGTTCCTTTACTGTCCTGTATAATTTTTATGACAATTTCTTTCCTTTAGAACGATTTTTTCTTCGGTCCCAGAAATTCTCTCATAAAAACCTCATTATAAAATTCCAAAAGGAAAATTAGATTTTTCTATTTTGAAATTTTTTTTGCGTCAAACCACATCCTGGATTTTTCCCCTGTGAGCCAATAACACACAAAAAAGAGAAAAAATCATATTGTATGTGACTTTCGGCATTCAATATCAATCTACGTCTTCCATTCATCCAAGGCTCTTTGAATGTGAATGAGTAAAGGGGAAATAATCGGATCCACGTGAGAAGCATGCAGATAATTTTCGCATATTTTTCGGTGTGTGCATAAATCTTCTTCGCATTTTTTTCCATCTACGCGAAGATTTCGTCTTTACATAGGATCAGTTGAATAGAAGCCTCGGAGGAGAAACTAATCCAAAAACGTATAGGAGATAAAAAAAAAAAAGTAGATGGCATTTAACTTTTTGTTCTTTCTTTCGAAATCACACGTATGTGTCTCATCATCCCCCGAGTCTCGAAATAATGACGCTGACATGAAGAAAATTCATCCGGGAGGGCGCAAAAAACAAGTTCGGTGACATTTTTGTGGATTTTCCGCACGTTTATGAAATTTATTTCTTTTTTCCTCTGAAGATTTGGTCTCCGCATGAATCAAATAAAAATAAGTCAGTCAAAATAGCTGTGCTTATACTAGTTGAATATTTTTAAAAACCAAATACTGTACAACAAATTACACATCTGTCCAAAAAAATCGCAAAAAGAGGATGTTGACAGTAGAGTTCAAAAACTTTATCAGTATTTTCTGATAAAGTTTTTTATAATGCTGAAAAATATTTGAAAAGCCAAAAAAGGAATGTGTTGAAAGTATGCAGGTTATTTAATTTTCAGAAAATCTTCCCACCAGTCAAACATTTTGAAAATCTCAATATAATAAATTATCCATTATAACAAACTTTTTCTGAAGTCCCCACAAGTTTGTTGTAACAAGATTTTACTGTACAACAACTGACATTTTTGTCAAAAGAAAACTGGCAAAAAATCATCTTACACCAACAAAATATTTTTTTGAAACTGCAATTCAATCAATAAAATCTATGCCTGAAGAAAATTGGCAGAAATAGCATTTCAAATTAACAGCATATATTTTTGGAAATGTTATTTAGCAACTGACATCTCTGTCTGAAGGAAATTGAGAAGTGGTTACATACCCACACAGAAGAGCCAAAAACCACTGAAATCACTACAAAAATTGACTATAGAGACACACAAAAATCTTCATCTTTTGATCTTCTAGTCACTCAAAATCCTGTATAGTAATGATGAACTGTGAGTTCAACCACCATCAACGGATAACCAGCAATATTTGTTTAAATTCATCATCTGTCAAAATACGTGTCACTTCCGGCACTGATGTCAATTATTGAGAGTAACCTTGTGGTTGAGGACACAAACACTTCCGCTCTCACAGAGTGAACATTCAACACTAAAAAAAAAAAAACCCCATACACAGGAAACTCATGTTCCCTGTCTGCGGATCGCCCAGCAACTGCGCAAGCCTCGCATTTCTTCATGAGTGTAACCAGTTCAGCAGAACAGAATGAGGGGGGGACACATTTCTGAACATGTAAGGAGGGACCATAAGCAGCTGGAGAGATTTGTCTTTGTCCACTTCCTCTCTTTAGGAATAAGAACGGGAGTCCCGAAGGTAGTTGTCTCTCTCTTCCACTAAGTTTTATAAAAGTCACTTAAATTATACGACTGTTACTTAATCATAATAAGTTTTAACAGAAATGCTATTTTTTAAATAATACCCTTGTTGATGGAGGATGAATTACAGTTTTCAAGACGACTTTTCTTTCTAAAATAAGTAAAAAAAAATAATTGAATGAATAAGGCATGTTATATGTGCCATGCTGATTTCTACCATGAATAATATACTTTACCATACTTCACAATATTTACACATATAATGTATGCATCAATTGTCAAATAATTGTGCAGTCAAATCCGATTTGAAAAGTTGGATATTGTACAATTCGCATACTCTTGGTGAGGAAACTAATTCAGCAACTTATATTCTTGTACTTATACTTATACAGTATCCAAATAAAAATGGCACTGCTGTATTTTGTATATACTGTACATTATTATAGCTAGGGTTCTCTCAATTTTGCTCAGGAATATAAATTTCTTGAGTTGTTAAAACATGCAAAAATACTGGTTTTCACAATGATGTTTTTTTTTTTGCTTCTTGAAATTTTCCAGATGCAGTATTTAGATCATTTTTCAGGGTACTGAATGATGAGAAGCTAAAAAATTAAAACATAATGGCCAAAGTTTACCACTACTGATATCAATATACTGTCTGTGATTGTTTGTACAGAGTTTTAAAATGAAAATAATAACCTTTTTCATTTTAAATATCATGTTTATTTTAACTTCAAAAAATATGCTTATGCCAATAATTTTGAGAAAAAATAGCAAAATTGGAATCAACCGCATGCCATTACAATATCCATCCCATAAAAAATGTTGTGCGCATTTTATTTATTGCAATGAAAGTTCACTTTCAATACCACATTTTTTAAAATTCAACAGGACATACTGGTGAATTTGATACTGTATTCTAAAGAAGAAGTCCCTCGCAGAACTGGGACAGCTTCAGAAAAGGCAAACGATTCAAAATAACCAACCGAATTTATACACAAGGCATCAAAACCTGCGTCTTTCGATGCGTTCCGTCACAATAATAAGGTACTGTATAACCCGCACAAGCGGGTTAATTCAACCACCGGTCTTGATTATACCAGCAACTGATCCAAACCACTATACACAAGGCATCAAAACCTGCGTCTTTCGATGCGTTCCGTCACAATAATAAGGTACTGTATAACCCGCACAAGCGGGTTAATTCAACCACCGGTCTTGATTATACCAGCAACTGATCCAATCCACTGCATGTAAGTGACTAAATATGGGTCACTTCTGCAATAACTGAGACAAGTTTGGCCATCATAACTTCGTGTAGAGGACACACGTCCGCTCTTCACCAGTTAACATTTAAACTTGAAAAAAAAAGAAAGAGAACCCGGGTGCCCACTCGTCCTGCCCTGTCCGCGGCATCACGGGCGACTGCGCAAGCCCAGGATTTCTTCATCAGTAAGCAGCAGTTCAAGAGGAAAGTGGGTATAGGACCCATTTCTGAACTCGTAAGGGAGGAACCTCCAGCTGACGGCGGGTCTCGAAAAATGATGCCCTAGCTCAAGGATAAAATCGAGGGGAAACATTATTCCAACTCTCATCATCTATAAAGGATCAGAAAAACTTGAGGGAATAACATGACCAGCATATTCATTGGCAAGAAAATCATTCAAGTATAATTTAAAAAGGGACTCACAAGAGTAATGTCATTGGAAGGATTCATTTCTGAACATGTAAGTTTTATCCTGGAAGGTCCTCTACTACCCAGAACTTTTTACTAAGATAGATCGAGTTCCTATTTTAAATCCTCTGAAAATAAAAGTGTAGTAGAGATCCTAGTCCTTTTACCTCCCTTACTGTACGACCGGATCATATTCATTTTCAAGACAAATGCAATTCAATATCTTTCAAGCATAATTTAAAATAGACTCACCAGAATATCTTCATAGAATGGAGTACTGTATTGTGATTGGGAGCATTAATTTCTGAACATTTAAAAAAGGGACCACCCTGCTGATGATGGGTCTTGAAAAATGATTCTCTAGCTCAAGGATAACATTTAGGAGACTTTTATTTTCACATCATCTCTAGGATCAGGAAAATGGAGGGAATGACATGCTGTCATGGATCATATTTATTTTCAAGACAAATACAATTCAACATCTTTCAAGTATAATTTAAAGGGACTCACAAGAATCATAGAATATGGAGTAATGCCATGGAGAGGACCGATTTCTAAGAATGTAAGAAAATACCTTATTCCAGCTGATGGTATAGGTCTTGAAATTGGTGGTCTGCTCAGAGATAAAAATGAGGTCTTCATTTTTGTATTTATGATTTGAGGAAAATTGAGAGCATAACAGGCTATGGACAATACTGCACAGTTAAATCTCCTCGTCAAACTTCATGCGACCCACATACAAATTGACTTATTAAGAGAGGCGGTATCAAGTTATGGAAATTAAACTTTTAACTTGAGATAGAACTAAAGAATAACATGATATTGAAATCGGAGTTTTTCTGGCGGGCCTTAAACTGCTGAACACATGAAATTACAGGCAGCTGAATATATTAGTTTAGAAGGGCTCATATTTCTAATTACTAAATCCCTTCTTTTTAAAAAGAACTGTCAAATTCATATTGTTTTTCCTTTCTTGGACAAAAAAACAGGATACCCATCAGAATACTGCCTGCTGAAGACCATCCAGAAATTTGAGTTATACATATAGATTTCATGGGGAAAGTTTTGAAGTTAGAGGGGGTTTTTTACACTGCGAACATTTATCTTTAGGGTCAGACATGATTTCTTCATCACTGCTGTAAACTCCAGCGAGATGGGCGTCCACCGTACAGTAATTGCGTAACAGAACAGTCAAGTGCCCCTCGACAGAGCGACATCTACCAATTCAAGTCGAAAGCAGCACGCGCGTCCAAGTAAGCCAATTGGATTCCGTACAAGAACTTGATCGCTGCTATGATCGGTGATCTACTGCATCATAGGAGCAGAGATACATTCACAAAAGTCTCATGATTTGATCAGCTCAGTCACTATAAAACCATAACAATTGAGCAAAACAGGACCAAACAGTCATGCCACTGGATCTGGTCTTCATAATCAAATTTATAATTCTTCATTATTCCATTTCGTTCGTTTGAAAATACATGGCATATCAAAATATTTCCCAATTTGAGCTAATACATTGAAGAGTTGTGATTCATCCAAGTTGAGCTGCTTCAATGTTCAGGTGTACTAATAAACAACAACAAATTCGGTTCATAGATCGAAATCCACTGGCCAGAAACCAATTTCTTGCAGACGCAGAAATTCCTATTGAATGGATAAATCAAACTTATGCATGACAAAGTGTTGCAGACAAGATCCTTGTTGAAAGTCTACCTGTATACTGTATAGTGGGTAATATGAACTCACCCGATTTTCTAATCATCTCCAGGGCTGACAAACAAAAGCAGCAGTTTAAATAAATCTGCTACATAACTGTACAGCTGTCCACATGCATGTTGAAATTCTCTGAAAACACTGATCATTTTTCCACCCAACAGGCTAATACAATGTACCAAAAGTCCAGTATACCAACAACAGCATTTTGCAGGCAGAATTCCACTTCACAAACACACTGGTCATTTCTGAATTATTCGAATTTAGCATCGCGGGATCAGCTGATGAATGACATGACATGTAAAAAAAAAAGGGAATAAGCACATCAACACGGTCTTATTCTTGCAACAACAAAAACCAGTGACACAACAGAAGGAAGTATTACCCAGCTGTAGTGGACTCAGTTCAACTGTAACACTTTTCCCTAGAAGACAAAAAAAAACAGGGATTGCTCAAAATGTAAGCACACAGATACAGTATTATCCAATTCCTTTCAAGAAACCAGGAACTCACCTGAACCCCAACCATGAAAAATGAACAGAACAAGAGTCAGACAACAATGCATTTCCAACAAATTCTCCCAATATTCTCATATTCTAGAGAATAAATAATTTTTTCCCAATATTTAGGCTGAAATTCAATATCAACTAACGCTCTTCAACAGGTGTATAAAATGCACAGTACAAAATATTATAAAGGACGGTTCACTTTTGTCTCCAAGCACACACCTCATCATCACAGGGCTCACAACACCCACCATGGACGGATAAACAACAGCGCACATACCAAGAAAAAATAACCCTCTGAACCCATTGGAGGGAATGAAAAATATGGGTACGTTTCTACTGAACTCCCTGTTGAGATACCCAATGCATGGGGTCACTGGAAGATGCCACCTGAGTCTCATTCCAGAAAATCTCAATTCAGTGCAACAAAAAAATAAGAGCGACATCTACGAGACAGAAGTTAAAATCATTGAGTCCAGGACAACACGGGGGTATAAGAGAAAATAACTAAAATATGCTGCAAAAACTTGCGCATACGGAATATGTTTCTCAATACGTTTTTGCGCAGAAACAGCACTTGACTTTTGATACTCAGAAATGTCTTCCATGAAAAATGGAATCTTAAAATCCATACTAAAGCTTGAAAATTCGTCAAAACAAAACGAGAGATTGCTCTAAAAATACAATGCCAACCCGAAAGGTCTCGAACACAAAACTAAAAAAAAGAAGAACTCGTGCCTCACGCGAATCTCAGAGCCGCCACAAACCCGAAGACCAAAACAGGCGCCAGTGGAACCAAAACGGCGGCTCCTGCACGGCAATTCACCGCATGCATGGCGTGCAAGAAATCGTCACCCAGAAAACTCGCGTAATCACGTTCTTCTTCCTCAATAATCATCAATTGCTGGGTCGAATCTTGGAAGATGAGGTCAAATGAGGGTTCCGGACTAGAAAACATCTTGAAGCTGAACAAATCTCCATGTTTCACCCCGTAGAATTGTTGGGCGTAGATGAACAGGTCCGTTGTGACGCGTGTCGGGATCCGATCAGCCTTTCGGCCAACTAGTGCATTGCCTTTGATCTTGCCCAGATTGCAACTGAAAGGTGAGAAGAACAAAACAAAATTAGAAATACAGCAAGAAGCAGACAAACCACAAAAATCAAATTTAAAAACCTGAAAATATATAAAATAACATTACTCTGGTTTATCTACTCAATTTCCCAAATCACCTCTATTTCACTTTAAACCTTTCTAAAAAGTTATTTCCAGAAGAAGACTTCAATGATTTTGCATTTCGAAGTTTGTTCTGCCTTGTTCACGATAACAGTAATGTAATGTACTGTACTTCATGAAGTATCACGCACTAAAACGCACACTGGTATTTCTCAGCATAAAATTTTGATGAAATCATATGCCCAAAAAAGTCCCAAACCCATTCAAGTAACTCAAAAGCTGCAATATCTCAAAAATAAGCAAACCAACATTTGCATTTAGACATGCATTGAACCTGAATAAAGTACAACTCATTTTAAATGTTTTTTTCCAGCCTATAATTTGGATAAAAATGTATCCACAAATAGAAGTGCACCCCCATTTCCATAGAAAGAAAATTTGCAATTTTTTTTCAAAATTAAATACAACAGAATTTATATTTTGACGTGAATTGTAGTCGAATTGTACATTGATTTTCCACCGTTTCCATTTTTTAAAGTTGCTGTTGAAACCAAGTATGATGCGCAACAACGCTGAACAATTTTCGAACATTATAACTACCTATAAGGCACCTCGCCTTTTTCCCACTCGATTTCAAAAAAGGTGCACATTGTACAGTAATTGACTAAATAGAGGAATTAAAAGGAACGAATTTTCATGAATAGTGGGTTTCTCGAGGCGCATCCCAGAAACTTATAAGACAAAAAACGTTATTCAACAACAAAATTCTTCCTTTCGTGGAATGAACAGTGAAACAATGAGCTTGGAATTAAAAAAAAACACAAGCTACAGTATTTTTTTGATTGAAAAAGGATCAGGTTCTCAACCAGAGTCCATCATGGAGGTTGCAAAAATTGGTGCACAACCACGTATTTGAGGGTCCAATGCAGGCAAGACATCTATCAAATCTTCTCAGCAGTAATTCAGTACATGGTACAGTACTAGTCCAGCAAGTGCACACAGTAGCAAACATTTCGAGTACACGAAACAGAAAAGAATTCAATCAAATAATTCTCACTCTTCATAACCCTTCACAGTGGTCCTAGTCCCGTCCCTACACAGCAACTGGTAATCCTCAGCAATCTGGTTCCTGGCCCACCACATCCTCCTCTTGCCATCAGTATTCTCCATGACCGTCGTATGCCTGACAAACGCCACGTGTCCACCGCCTTCCACCAAACACCGAAACGCACCCGAGAACCCAAAAAACGGCTCAGACGCATCCCGCGAACAAAACGAACCCGTGGACCCATGACACAAGTCGCACAAATTATTCCAAGTCCTCCCGTTGTTGTAATCCCGGTTCGTGGCCCCAGGGGCACAGGACTTGGAGAAAAACTCGGAAGCAGCCCGAGGGGAATCGCAATCGTACCCCCGCATTCGTTTATTATTCAGCAGAAATGCCAGTGGAAGAACCCAACCAGCCCCAGTCATCATTCCGCCGTGACAAGTGTTTCTGTTCTTCAGATACAACAGGTCAGTCGTGGGGTCCTTTTGTTTCGCCACTGCAACAGCGTAATATTCCGGGTCTTCCAAATTGTATTGTTCCACCATCAATGGGATCAAGTTGTAGTCGTAGCCAGCTGTGTAGACATCACCGGCATCCAACATGACCACGTCAGCTTGACCCTTGGAAATGGCTTTTACGCAGTCCAGGGAATTGACAGCCTGGAAACACTGGAGTTCGGGTTGAATCATCTGGGCTTTCAGGGCTGTTCGTAGGGCCATGCACTTGGCAAATTCTGCTGGCGACGTTACGCAGAGAGTCAATTTGGCCATCGGGCATTTTCTCACGGATTCAAAGGACTCGAGAATCCTGGGGCCAAGGTACTGCTTGTAGTTCCATTTCACCTGAAAATTACGAAGAAAATTCTTGGTGAAACCGAAGTTATTGTAAAAATTTTGTCGGCTTCCTCAACCTTTTTTCCTTTTCTAGGAAAATTAAGATTTATGAAAATAACATTTGGTCATTTTATTCAATCCAATCGGGCCAAGAGGTGACCTTTCTATAATTACTTTACCATATTTACCTGAGTACACATGCCCTCCAGTCAGGTGCCCACCTAGATTTATGATAAAATCCTATTTTGACAGAAAAAATTATGTTTTCCTGCATAGAATCCTATTTTTTTTTACATTAAACCCTTTTCATAGATAAGCTTCTTTAAAAAAATAAAATTCTTTTTCTCATGAATGAAATCCTTTTTGATGAACAAAATCATATTTTGAGTAAGACGCGCAGCCCATATTTAGTGACTCCAAAACAGCAATATTTCAAAAATAAGACAAACCAGAATTGTCATCTCACCTACAACGAAATTCGAGGAAACAGAAAAAATCGTTCTAGAGAAAATTTCGTTGCAGAAAACCCCTATAACATGGGGAGGAGAACCCTATGGGACCACAAAGAAAAACATTGTTACACAGACGATATCGTTGTAGACAAGATAGTTGTGGGGAGTCCACCTGTACAAATACGGCAGTTGGAATCATACCATAAATCATGAATATTCTAAATCAAATTTTCAATTTCAGAAAGGAGCTTTGAATTTCCAACTCAAACAGACAAAACAGAACACGCCTCACCTGTTCAATAGGCAAAAATCGCGCTGTTCGGTCAGAGAAAACAAGATCCTTGACCTGTCCTTCAGACTCAAACAAGCGAAATGATTTCACCACAGCACTTTGATCTCCCTTCTGAACCAAAACTCGTTCCCGAGACCCGAAAAGTTCAACAGCTACCCTTAAGAATTCCTGATACATGAGAACGTAGTCGGTGCGGGCTGATGATGTCACAATCGCATCTGATGGCGCGCTTCCCCAATTACACCTGTTGAATTGAATCGAGAATTAGACACGGGTTTAAAAGGAAAATTTTACATCACAGACATTTTTCAAAACACAAAACAGCACATCAACAGCTTTTGGAGCATAAGGAATTCCCACATTTCACCTGAAACCTCACTCACATTTAACTGAAATATGAGTGAAGTTGAACCTGGATAACTTTCCAGAATCAAATACCTAATCATTTCAAGTTTTTATAAGTCCCTGCCTGAATTCCCACAGGAACATTGCATTAAAAATCTCTAATTTAAAGGCTTCCCCATTCAAACCTCCATAACTCAAATTTTCTCAAGGCCAACTACTGTACAAGCCTTGAGCCTCTTGACACAAAGAATTATTATTTTTTTTTTAAATAAGGAAGTGAATTTATTTTCGACACACCTTTCGAACTCGTGAATTTCAGCCTTTCTTCCGTCAGGACACAGAAGCATGAAATCTGCTTGCGTTGATGTTGCCAATTTTTGACTAACAGGTCGTGCCCCTGGAAGCCTAGGTTCCCTCAGGGCCAGAATCGCATCATTCACTGTAGTGTGCTTCAAAAACGCAATCCTATGCGGACTCGCACCTTCAACAACATCCTCGCTATTCAGACACGCAAAGGCACCTTGGAACCCATAATAAGGATCCCTGCCAGTACAATGGAATCCACCATACGAACTTCCCCCACACGCTTCACACAGACGATCGGAATTATCTCCCAAGCGATTGAAAACGTCGGTCAGCGAGTTCGGTGCACAACTGGGGCCGAAAAATTCTATAGCCGATTTCACGTGGTTGTTACAATCTGCAACCGGTATCGTGCTGTTTTCCAGCAAAAGTGACATCGGCAACGTCCAACCGGCGAGACTGCCAACGTAGGGAAAACACCCAGTTTTCCCTTCCAAATCTGCGAGACTTTCAAAGGCCCCCGAGGATTCCCGACGAATCACGGCAACAGCGTAGGAAAAATCCCGAGCAGTTTCGTCTTCGTCCACTTCTTGAGCAATGGGGATCAGACTGTGGTAACGACCACCGATGTAAACTTCTCCAGGGTCAAGCTTCACGAGATCTGCCTTTCCAGTGTCCAGCGCTGTCATGCACTGCGATTTGTCAAAGGCCTCGTGGCATTCGAGGCTTTTGAAATTCGCGAGAAGTTCCGAGCCGAAAGTGAAGGCCGTCACGTTTTCGCTGACAGCGGTTTGAAACCTGAGACACTTTTCGAGTTCCGCACTTCCGGCTGCACACCACGAAATTATCGATGATGGATCGCGGACGAGCTTTTCCGGATCAAGATCATCAATGAATGCTGAAGCTACACCGAATAGCAAGCACGCTATGAACGTCACTGTCGCAAACATCTTCCACAAATGGAAGCTGCTGCAAGATCACAAAAGTCCTGGATTCGAGAAAAAGCAGAACATGTCACTTAGTTACTTGGGGAAGGTTTCACACTTTTCATCGTATCGCGCATCAATTTCAATACAGTAGCAGAAAACTTCACAAATAAAATACTGTAACTTCGATAGAGAGCTGGGCAACGCCATGTTTTACAACTGCTTCCATCTATCGACAAACCAACTTGACTTCCCTTCTCTCAGTTTCCATGATTCCGTGGGAAACTTATGGACATTTATATTTAAAATTTGAAAATAAATCAAAATCGTTCATAGAAACTAGTGAGGAGAGCAGAAGATTTTCAACGGGTTCAAGAGAATTTTCAGTTTCATCAGTTGTTCTCCAGACGTTAAAACATCAGCTGAGCTGAAGTAAAACTTCGATTGCTGCTGTGATTCGGTGAGAGAAAACATGAACGCTTCTTGTTCCTGCAAAAAATCACAAAATTAAAAAAAAACATGAAAATGCAACAGAAGTTCCCAACAGCTGGATCTTCAATGCGAAATGCAACAAAAAATAAACATCCCAAACAAAAAATTAATGCTCAACGCAAACTAGGAGATGTTTCACAATTAAGAACAAATATACCCCGCTGATTGAATCTTGGCCCAAATTTGGATTGTTCGCAAATTTTGTGAGTCTAATTCCACAACCGGCATTTTCTCATGGATTCGAAGGACTCAAGAATCCTGGGACTGAGATACTGTTTGAAATTCCATTCCACCTGAAAAGATAAGAAAACAATTTTGTGAAACCAGAATGTATAGTACGAATTTGCTAGAAAAAAAATGGACGAAAAGGAACAAAGAAACACAATAATAATATTGCACACATTGAAAGAGACCAACTTCTTGCCTACCAGCACTGGGCACATTTCATTCGAAAAAGCGATTACAAAAAGACATTTCAAAAATTCAAGAAAACCCTGCAAGAGATTTCGTTAAACAACTTTCGCAAGGAGAGTTGGCTCACGATCAGAGGATTAAATATTCGAAAAAGAAAGGTTTTCCCGAGAATTAAGGCCACAATCGCTGCTTGAAGCGATTATAATTAAATGTACGGTAATAATAATAATAAAATAATTAAGAATAATACTAATATTTTCATGGATATGTAACCAGTCCCATTGATGAAAATCTGATCAATGCTTTCAGAGAGAATGGGCCACAACCTAAAACTTCGAGAAGAAAACCTAATGGACAAATCTCTATCTCTTCATGCTATTTTCGAGTAACATGGAAAAATGCTCATGATTATAGTGACCATCAAATGCAGAACATCTGGGCAATGCAACACAGCTGAACCAATTCTTACCTATAAAATTCGGACAACTGAAAGGGAGCCTTTTCTCTCAAGAAATCCCAAGAATATCATCATGAACAAAGGGGGGACCTATACGGTGTCCAGTATGGTTTCCTACCATCTTATTTTCCATTGTGGTCAGTAGACGGATTAAGCTGGTTGGACCATTCAAGAAGAAAGGGGATTTGGGCACCAGCCTCAGGAATGTGCGCCGGGTAGTAGTAGTTTCCCACTAGTTTATCCCCCATTGTCCGACCCAAAAGGATTAAACCATCTGGTCCTTCCCCAGGAGGCTGGGAGGGGGTCCGTTTTTGCTCCTTCATTCTCTAATTCCAAAAGTACATGGGTAACCATGCTCTGTTTTTTGGGACCTTGCATTTACTTCTGTAATATTCTATTGTCATATTTTCTATTTTCTTATAGCATGTTTGTATAACACTTCCTTCAGCCTGGACTGTAATAATTTTTTCATGATCCACTTCCAATTCTATGCCATTTATCACAAGGACTGTACAACACAAAAGTGCATATAAAAAAGGTATGCCAATAATTCAAGCACAACAAAAATGCATGTACAGAAGGTACACCAATACAACACAAAATATTTTAATTTTCCTCTTCATCAACCAGGGGTTCCATTTAAATTATATTTATCAAATGTTGGAACTGGGGCAAGGTCAAGGCAATTTCACTGATCAAGGCAGACGTATGCTGAAGATATGATCTCATGTTTTGCGGATAAATAACAAAACTGTATTCCTCATAAGTTGAAGTCATGTAGACAGCATTCAAAGAATTGGTGAATTTTGTATTTAGGCGTATTTGGTATTCTTTACATGTACCCAAAACTTGGAGGAAAGTCATGGTACCCCTTTCGAAAATACCCTTTAACTTCATGCACAATTTCAGGGGTCTTGTGCCATGGCGCCTGGCGCGCATTCCTGAGGCTGGTGCCCAAATCCCCTTTCTTCTTGAATGGTCCAACCAGCTTAATCCGTCTACTGACCACAATGGAAAATAAGCTATTTTTTGGGACCTTGCATTTACTTCTGTAATATTCTATTGTCATATTTTCTATTTTCTTATAGCATGTTTGTATAACACTTCCTTCAGCCTGGACTGTAATAATTTTTTCATGATCCACTTCCAATTCCATGCCATTTATCACAAGGACTGTACAACTCAAAAGTGCATATAAAAAAGGTATGCCAATAATTCAAGCACAACAAAAAATGCATGTACAGAATGTACACCAATACAACACAAAATATTTTAATTTTCCTCTTCATCAACCAGGGGTTCCATTCAAATTATATTTATCAAATGTTGGAACTGGGGCAAGGTCAAGGCAATTTCACTAATCAAGGCAGACGTATGCTGAAGATATGATCTCATGTTTTGCAGATAAATAACCAAACTGTATTCCTTATAAGTTGAAGTCATGTAGACAGCATTCAAAGAATTGGTGAATTTTGTATTTAGGCGTAATTAGTATTCCTTATATGCACCAAAGATTTGGAGGAAAGTCATGGTACCCCTTTCGAAAATACCCTTCAACTTCATGCACAATTTCAGGGGTCTTGTGCCATGGCGCCTGGCGCGCATTCCTGAGGCTGGTGCCCAAATCCCCTTTCTTCTTGAATGGTCCAACCAGCTTAATCCGTCTACTGACCACAATGGAAAATAAGCTAGTAGGAAACCATTCCGGACAGCCCTGGGGAAGGGCCCGCCGACTTAATCCGTCGCGCCCTGAACAATCTAGCGATAAGCTGGTAGGAAACCGGGGTTGGAGCTCGACCTCTACATCCCCAGCAACAAAGAGGATCAGGCAGCTTTATTCAAAAAGAAAAAAAAAATACTGTACATAAAAAAAAAGAAAGGAGAAAAACCCCACACTTTCCTGGATTGGCGATCCTTCGGACACAAGCACGCGAAAAATACTCCACAGTTCATACCAAGAGCTTGCTCAAGGTGGTCAGGGAATTTTCAGATAGGGAATCAGAGGCAAATCTATTCGTGAAATTCGACTGCTTCTTTTTTTGAGTGGCCAGTTTTCGGCAGTACTGAGGTATTCCACGAAATTGTGCTCGGTGAAAATTCAAAGGAGTGAAATCAAACAGTGCAACACTTCAGAACATTTACTCGTTGATGGACATGATTTCAGCAGTTTTAATCGATGATTTTCAACAGTTTTAATGCAGTGAACGCAACTTAATCGCGAAAAATTAATTTGCTTTACTAATTTATTCCATTTTCTAACACCGGGAAAAGCAACGTTCTTGAAATTGCGGGCAATTTTTGATGATTCAAATACAGTATTAATAGGCAAGTCAACAGTGGACAGAGCATAAAAACGCCTTTTATAAATAACAAAAGAAAGGATCACACGTCGCCCATTCAGCCACTGATGCCCCAGAAATTCAACTTGTTCAGAAGAAACCAGCTTTTTTCCGATCGTATTCAGTAACATTTCCGGGAAGAGAAGATTACGATTTCAAAAGAAATGCTTCAAAGAGAGCAGTCTGATTTTATGTTGCGTGATAATTTTTGCCCATGTTAAAAATTCGTGATTTCCTAGTGCATAATTTATGTTTTCGTTAAAAATGCGCGGCTTTCATTATACTGTACTGTATCTATCGCTACATTTCGAATAGAATCTGGTGGACAATTTATGAATTAGTGCATCGGTTAAATTGAAAAATATCGATCTTTTATTTCAAGACCGATTTTCTTCTGATAAAATCCAAATTCGAAAGGATTGTTAATTTGTGCGAATAAATCATCGGTTTTCAGGAATTTGAATAAGCACATTCTGCACGAATTAATTTAGTCCATCAAATCAATCAAGTGCATGTGATTAAAACTAAGGTAATAACAGTCACTATAACTGCCTTATGATTATATTCACGAGAGTTTTCGTCAGAAGTAACCTCTTTCTTGCACCAGAAATTTAATCTTACAACAAAATGATTAATTAAGGTATGTCCTGCGAAGATGATGCGTGGAATCTCAGAATTATGTCGGACACATTTCTAATCATTTTCCTATTTATTCCACCAACAGGCTTTCTATTGGTGTTCGTCTCATCAATGACAGACTTTGGCCCCGCAGTTTTCGGCTTATCGCGACAATTGAATGCAAATGATCTCCATTTCAAAAGCAATCGATTCCCGGGTCACATTTACACGTTCATCGCGAACGGGAAAAAGCCAAACGGCGACAGTCTTTTCTACTGCCAAAGTTGCTACACACTCGATCGTCGAAAGCGTTCGATTACAGTTCGGAATAACCGGATCCTCACGAAAAAACATCCTGAAGATGACCACCATCCCGACTGTTTCCCGTACGATGAAAAGGCGGTTACTAGTACGCAACTCAAACGGGAAATGTACAAAGCAGCTAAAATCAATGGAAAAAAGCCCAGAGAAGCTTATGATGCGATGATGGGAAGCATTCCTGGACAGTGCGAAGAATCACGAGTTTCTCCGATGGAAATAGCAGTTATGTTGCCAACGTTTCAAAAGGTCTCACGCTCACTACGAACACATAGACAAAGAGGTATTTCCCAAGTCCAAGACACAGTATTTGTTGCCCCTGAACTGCGACTCACTTATCTGGGACGACACTTCGCTGGTGATGATAGTCAACGCAAAAATGAACGCTGGTTACTTAACCGAAGTCGAAACGGAAAAACACTGATCTTTGCTTCAGACGCCGACCTCAAGGAATTCCACGAGAGCAGACACATAATCGGCGATGGATCTTCGAAAGTAACACCTGATGGAACCTACCAGCTTTACACCATCCACGTCATCAAATATCCGAGGGAAAAATCTTATACACCTCAGTCTGTCGTAACCTGGCATACACCACAAGTACCCGAGAGTTACACGACTAAAGTCCCCCAAGGAGAAGGAGTCCCGATCATCTACGCACTGTTGCCAGATAAACGGCGTTCCACTTACACCGAAATGTGGACCATCATCAAAAAAGCAGTTACCAAAAAGTTTGGAAAAATGATGGCGCCGAAGACGTTCATTACTGGACTTCATGAGGATTCTTTAAGTGCTCTGCACGAAGTTTTTCCTGACCATCGCCACAAGATTTGCCTATTACACTTCAGACATGCAGTTCTCACCAAGATTCTCCAGTTGGAGTTGAAAGACGCAAACAACAATAATCCAGCCATGGGTTCCTGGTTGCAAGCAATCATGGCCCTTCCGATGCTTCCGTCGAACCACATTGAGCCAGCTTGGCCACTTCTGAAAACGCCACCATCTTCAGAGGACTCAGCTCTGGAACAAAAAATGGTACAACTTTCTCTCTACATGGAAGAGACTTGGATCGCAAGCAGCCTTTTCCCAGCACAAGTTTGGAGCCACTTCGATAACCAAGGACCTTGTACAACGAGCCTAGCTAAGGGTTACAACAGCAAGATGGAATGTATCTTTGAAAAGCAAGATCCTTCTCTGACAACCTTCTTGGAATGGCTTCAGAAGGATCATTTCCACTACCAAGTCAAGATTGCTCAACTTGAAAACGGCGTGGTATCTACTGAAGGCCTTATGGAATGGGAAAATCAAAATCTCCAAAAGGCTAAAGACGAATTTTGTCACCATCTCAACTATGTTTTTAACTGTGTGAGTCCTCAGAGATACAGCTATGTTGCATATCCATCAGCTGTTTTCTCATACCTGCGTACAGCATCTTCTTTAGTCAAAGAAATGTTATGTTTCCAAGAGCCAGTTCAAGGCAATCAAATTGACGAGGCTGATGAAAAAGTATGCATTTAAATGTGTTGCGTTGTTTCAATTCCGTTTTTATGGTTCAATACAAAATTGTCGGCAGTTTTCCAAAATGCATCCTGTTCTTGCTTCAGGGTTCAGTACTGAGTAGGATACAGGGACATGTTTTTCCTTCTCTTTCTGCAGGGACAATGAGTGAATGACAGGATATTGGCGCTTTGAGTGATCGAGTTGAAATTCACACGTAAATATTGAAAAATGAATCAATATTCGTCGAATGATTCAACAAGTGATGTGATGTTTACGTTCGAATTTATCAATAAAAACCCATAATCGTTCATGCATTTTCTGTTCTGCAATCGATGTATTTGGGAATACTCTTTTCTCATGCTGGAATGTGACCAGATCGAAAATCAGGGAGCTATCCCAGAGCCTGTTTCAAGCCAGGATAAACACAGGAGCAATGCAATAGCCTATTACTATGTACTTTCTTTGCTCATCTTAAATTTGAACCTTCAATACAGAGCGATGATTCCAACAGAAGTATAGGTATAGAAGGATCACATGTGCTTCAATAATTCAAACCAAACAAACCTGAACTTGCCCTAAATTAATAATCTACGGGCAATGCCGCTTAATGGTAAATTCAATTTTTAACAAGTATTGTCCCAGGTTTTGACCTAAATAATCTCTCTTCTTGAGCAAAACGAGAATTCCCTTCAAACCCACCATTTGAACACGTGACTTCCTGCTTTTCTTCCGTCAGGACCCAGAAATTTGAAACCTGAGACCTTTTTCCAGTTCCGCACTTCCGGCTGTACAAGTGCCCCAGATTACACACGATGCGTCGCGGACTAAGATTTCCAGATCAAGCTCTTCAGCAAATGCTGATGCTACAACGAACCGCAAGGAAGCTATAACCACTGTTGCACGCATCTTACACTTGGAAGTTTCTGTAATATCACAAACCTCCTAGATTCGAAGGTAACGCACATTTCCCTCAGATTCGTTCAACAGTTTCTCCTAATTTCCATCACATTCGCTCTCGCTACCATGTAAAAGCTCCAATAAGCGCGAACGCAAGACGCGAAGAAGCGTCACAGGTGGACTTCTGGAGAGAATGAGGGGACACCATGCGTTACTGCTGCCTCCATCTATCCACATGCAAACTTACTTCCCTTCTCTCGTTCTCCACAATTGTCAGTACAGTACTGCACTTTATGGACTACAGTACTACTATACCATGCGCCATTAATTCTTTGTCTATACAATAGTATTCCATGTATAGCCAGAGTCAGAATTTAGCATAGTCCTTAACAAGAAAGCCAAGGAGTTCAGACAATCAACTAATTTTCAGATCCTTACCTGGCTTTGAACCATTCTTTTAGAACTCAGAAAATTCATTTTCAGTTCAGTACAGTAATCCCAATTATAGAAAATTTTGGTTTTTCTGAAAAAGATGAATTCAAGAAATCTTTCCAGCATTCATTAAATTAAATACATTGTACATGATGAATACAGGTGCTCCATATTCATGCAGCAGCAAGTATCGGCTTTCCGGAATTATGCCCTGTACTGTATATGACTCCAGTTTTTGCACGGATGTATTGCATGTAAATGAGCATTGTTCTTAAATTGTTAGTAATTATTTCACAGGGTGCATGATCTCGTTCGTTGTGCATGGGAAATAAAATCCAACTGCAGTACTATCGCAGCCAGGACGTATCCGTTATGGCCGCCATTTCGCCGGTGCCCTATAACGTGAGGTAAACAGTAGGTTGCCAAGTTGTACAATAGCGAAAGCCGTGTTTCCACGGCGACACGGCGGTCACCCTCCGCAATCGTTGGCATTACCGGTAGCCGGTAGCAACGGCCAACACCATTCCTAATAGGGAGACTTCTAACAAAAGAAAGGAAAGAATCGAAGGGATTTTTAATGGTACTGCCAGAGACGTTGTTGAAGTCAACTCCGCTTGTCGGTTGTCTGAGCAGTAGGTCAGTCCGTCAGTGTCGTGAGGCAGTGTGAAAAAACTGAATCTGGCAACCCCACGGATCTCACCCCGGCATTTCGTGTCCCGGGGGAATGGAGTTGGGGCGACGAACAACCGAACTCCGGGGTTTCAGTGATCCTGGCGTTAGATTTCGGGGAACGCTTGAACCCTTTCTCAAAAGAAGATCAAGTGGATTCGTGCCGAGTTAATGGCCATTGTATGTGATTCCAGTCCAGTTATTTTTCCTGCTGAAGTTGCTCGAAATCACTGTGACTTGTCTAGCATCTTTCTAATCGGTGGCCGCGGATATTTCGAGCGGTAAATTTCTGGTGAATTCAAGTTTTTGAACTGTCGATAAATTTCGCTTCGCACTTCCGGCTGTACAAGTGCCCCAGATTACACACGATGCGTCGCGGACTAAGATTTCCAGATCAAGCTCTTCAGCAAATGCTGATGCTACAACGAACCGCAAGGAAGCTATAACCACTGTTGCAAGCATCTTACACTTGGAAGTTTATGTAAGATCACAAAACTCCTAGATTCGAAGGTAACGCACATTTCCCTCAGATTCGTTCAACAGTTTCTCCTAATTTCCATCACATTCGCACTCGCTACCATGTAAAAGCTCCAATAAGCGCGAGTGCAAGACGCGAAGAAGCGTCACAGTTGGACTTCTGGAGAGAATGAGGGACACCATACGTTACTGCTGCCTCCATCTATCCACATGCAAACTTACTTCCCTTCTCTGGTTCTCCACAATCGTCAGTACAGTACTGTACTTTATGGACTACAAATTTTGCACAATTGTCAGTACAGTACTGTACTTTATGGACTACAGTACTACTATACCATGCGCCATTAATTCTTTGTCTATACAATAGTATTCCATGTATAGCCAGAGTCAGAATTTACCATAGTCCTTAACAAGAAAGCCAAGGAGTTCAGACAATCAACTAATTTTCAGATCCTTACCTGGCTTTGAACCATTCTTTTAGAACTCAGAAAATTCATTTTCAGTTCAGTACAGCAATCCCAATTATAAAAAATCTTGGTTTTTCTGAAAAAGATGAATCCAAGAAATCTTTCCAGCATTCATTAAATGAAATACATTGTACATGATGAATACAGGTGCTCCATGTTCATGCAGCAGCAAGTATTGGCTTTCCGGAATTATGCCCTGTATTTTATATGACTCCAGTTTTTGCACGGATGTATTGCATGCAAATGAGCATTGTTCTTAGATTGTTAGTAATTATTTCACAGGGTGCATGATCTCGTTCGTTGTGCATGGGAAATAAAATCCAACTACAGTACTACCGCAGCCAGGACGTATCCGTTATGGCCGCCATTTCGCCGGTGCCCTATAGAGTGAGGTAAACAGTAGGTTGCCAAGTTGTAGAATAGCGAAAGCCGTGTTTCCACGGCGACACGGCGGTCACCCTCCGCAACCGTTGGCATTACCGGTAGCCGGTAGCAACGGCCAACACCATTCCTGATAGGAAGACTTCTAACAAAAGAAAGGAAAGAATCAAAGGGATTTTTAATGGTACTGCCAGAGACGTTGTTGAAGTCAACTCCGCTTGTCGGTTGTCTGAGCAGTAGGTCAGTCCGTCAGTGTCGTGAAGCAGTGTGAAAAAACTGAATCTGGCAACCCCACGGATCTCACCCCGGCATTTCGTGTCCCGGGGGAATGGAGTTGGGGCGACGAACAACCGAACTCCGGGGTTTCAGTGAGCCTGGCGTTAGATTTCGGGGAACGCTTGAACCCTTTCTCAAAAGAAGATCAAGTGGATTCGTGCCGAGTTAATGGCCATTGTATGTGATTCCAGTCCAGTTATTTTTTTCCTGCTGAAGTTGCTCGAAATCACTGTGACTTGTCTAGCATCTTTCTAATCGGTGGCCGCGGATATTTCGAGCGGTAAATTTCTGGTGAATTCAAGTTTTTGAACTGTCGATAAATTTCGCTTTGTAACGTTATCGGATGTGAATGCATTGTTTTTTAATTGCGGGAATCTTATTTTCAGACCCACAGCTCGTGTGATACTTGCTTTCTCTCGTTTCGGTGAACCTTCGTAGAATTTTCAGCAGTTAACATGGGCAATCCTAAGGTACGTACCGAAAAATCTTCACCCTTGCTCATCTGTCGGACACACTTGATCTACCAAAAAATTGCCATGAACACAGTGGATCTAACGCGATACGGCGGAAGTTATTGTTAGCTTAAATGATTCCTCCAAATTTTGCTAAACATCTCTTCATGGGTGACACGGCTTACATAAGTCATCAGCTCTTCAGTTTTCAGCTAGCTGACGTGTGAAAACTGTTACTGAATTTGAAATTATGTTCTAGGTTTTTTTCGACATGACCGCCGATGGTGCTCCCGTTGGTCGCATCGTCATGGAAATCCGTGCTGACGTGGTCCCGAAAACCGCGGAGAACTTCCGAGCTCTCTGCACCGGCGAGAAGGGATTCGGCTACAAGGGTTGCACTTTCCATCGCGTCATTCCGGATTTCATGTGCCAAGGCGGAGATTTCACTAACCACAACGGCACTGGTGGCAAGTCCATCTATGGCAACAAGTTCGAAGATGAGAACTTCACTCTGAAGCACACTGGACCTGGAATGCTCTCCATGGCGAATGCCGGGAAGAACACGAACGGATCGCAATTCTTTTTGACCACAGTGTCGACTCCGTGGTTGGATGGAAAGCACGTCGTGTTCGGTGCCGTCGTTGAGGGCATGGATATCGTAAAGAAGATCGAGGGCCTCGGGTCTCAGACTGGGAAGACGAGCAAGAAGGTCGTCATTGCTGACTGCGGTCAACTCTGAAGAAGATATCTTTGTTTCTTGCATCAAAATCTTCTCGACATGTTTTATGTTTTCGTAGCTTATTGAAAGTCACTCTCGGAACAAAATTCACGCGCATTCCGCGTTTCATTCCCTATCTTCGACTATCGGAACAAGTTAACGGGCGTTGTTCATGAGAATCTTTGTTCTTGTCTCTCTTTGGTGTCACATTGACAGTTGAAGAGGTGAATGAAAAAGACGGCTCTACCTGCTTGAAACGAGTCCTTATTTCTTTATAGTAGTAATACCTACGACCATGGCCTTTTCTGAGTTCAGTCCCATTTTATCCGAGCTGAACTACGAGACGATTTTAAGCTGATGGACAGTTAAGATCATCAGGCCTTTTGTGATAGGGTATACTCCACGATTCTCTAGTCAAATGCACGTTGTAAAACTTACCGCTTACCTGACTTATTCTTGGTGACTGCGTCACAGCTCTTAACGCATCACCTCTTAGAATATGATACTTGGACTTCTAGTCAACATTCTTTGTCTGACAGTCTAAAACACTTCGCCGAATTCCTGCTTCAGAAGAAGTGTGACAATGTTCAAAGTCCAAGACTAAGTTGAAAATTGTGAAAGCGTGAGTGGCTCAAATACTTCCTTTATTCGGTACAGATCAACTCTTGTGGGCAAATATAGAAGCGTGAAAGTAAGTCATTGGTGGGGTTTTCTGCGGCATATTGGCAAGAATTCCGAAACTTTCCTCCGCAAGGATTCTACATATCTGATCAACCAGTGGCATGGACCTGTAGAAATAATGAAAAATGAGATTTTGCAGCAGAATAATGCAATAATTCTAAGGATGTTTGGTTTTCATGACCAGTTCAGAATGAAGTGTTTCAACGGTTCAACCCAGTGAATTCGGATTAGAAACAGAGCAATTCAGATGATCATTTTATCTAAAAAAATGTTGCTGAATTTATTTTTGATCAAGCTAATTTTAAAAATGTCCACTGATACTTATCCATATACTTTTTATGCTGACAATTACCATGATGCGATCATTAAGAGATGCTCTTATTTAAAATAAAATGTTGCTCAGCAGTATAACTGCACTTCACACAGAAAATGCATGAAGCATTCACTGAATCATTCAATTAAAATGGCTCACCATCACTTACTTCAAATGGACCACAAATTCCAGAATATGGGGAGATGGTCCCTGTGATGATCTGTTTGTGGTCACCAAAGTGCCGGATGCGAAAAACACCCTCTGTGTTCACTGGGATGGTCCATTGAATCCGTGCTTCACTTTCTCCTGTCAGAGAATTGGTTCGTTCCCAAGAAAACCTATGGAGAAATTAAAAATAAAGAATACAGAATCAAGTTTTAAACATCCACTTTGGCATGTTTCTCCTCACTTTGTTTCCCAATTGGCATCTGTTCCAATAACTTTCCATGTGTCATCATTCTGCCTGTGTTCCACTGTGAGGTAAGTCCCTCCTCTCCTCACATTGTTCCTCGGATTACCAGCTCTCTGCAATTTCAGAAGGCCATTGATGGTTTTCCAGAGTCTCATCCTTCACACATTGAAGTATCAGCTGGAGGTAAGCCCAATTTCAAAAATATATACTGTATTCCATATCTTCCAGACTATCTTTTTATCATTAGCATCACAGAGCCTAGGAGAGGATTTCATTTTACTTTATCTTTGAATCCAAATATCTGGGCGAAAGTGAGTGTCAGTCGCCCTTGCACATAATTATAGGATACAATACAACATTTGAAAATTACAACTTAAAAAAAAACACCTCATTCAGTGACCTGGGTACCTGATCCAGGTCAACAAAATTACATGGAACTGCATGATTAAAACTATTGTATTTGAACTCTGTCTCATTATTAAGAAAAAGTATCAACCTTATTGAAAAACAAAACATTCACAGAATTCAAGTTGATCAGGAGAAATTTAGCAGTTCAAAATTTTGAATATACAGACTGATTTGTTGTGTCATTGAATCATAATATGTGTCCAGCAGTAATTTACTGATAGCTTTATGAAAGCACAACCAAAAAATCAATACAGTATATGTAACACCCTCACAGTCTATCAAATAATACACCTTTCTCCATATGAAATGTATATTGCTGCAACAGTGTTGGACTAAAGATATGATTTACTATAGAAGAGCCACCACCACAGAGAAAAAAGCCAAAAACTCTTCTAAAAATTAAAAGGAATTCAAAACTTAATACAGTACAGATCTTTGCTATAGTTGAAAAAACTCACAAATATGACATCCACAGTCTCCCCACCTCTGTAAGATGGGTATGGATTTCTGAGGCAATCCCCATAGTTATCAAACAAAGCCCCATCATACTGAGGATCAAACACAAAGCTGATTTGGTCATCCAAAAGGTTTGGTGGCAATGGTCCAGCATCCAGCTCCAGTCCCTTCAATGTAAATTCACAATTATTGCCCCTGCTCATTGAAGTCTGAAATATCCCTCATTTACTCAAATATGCATTTAAAAGGGGCTTTTACAGTATTAATATCAATGCATAATTAAACATTCAAAGTTTCAAGTAATTGGCAATACCTACTTGCAGAGTAGCATTGACCAGGAACTTATATTGGTCCAGATATGCCCCAAGGGTGTTGGGCCCATATATTGTGGAAGCTCCTTCATAGCGTTGAATCTGTAAAATTTAAATACAGTACTGTTAACTATATTAAGAAGAAAAAAAAACCTGAACAAACCTGGTACTCTTCAAATGTTGTAACATAGTCTGAGTAGACATTGGTGAGGCCAGCAATGATTGGCTTTGGGTCCACAATGCCATGTTCATTCATCACCTGAAATGGCATAATTGAATGATAATGCAAGAGCCAGTTATGAAACCTTGAAACGTAATTTTTACACTTATATAGCAATTTATTTCATTACAATAGATGCATGTTACCTTAGCCACAGTATCCCTCATTCGACGGCCAGACATGGTTGTCAGCTCACCAGGTACACCAAGAATGGCCAAACTGCCAATGAGGACCACTGATGTGTCCACCACATCTGGCTGCCATTTGTATGGGAAAGTGTACTGTTACAGAATTTGGGGATAAAATTGAAGATGAGTCTTTACACTGAGACCCATATTGATTGGAACATACAAAGCCAGTGTCAAGTAGAATTGGTTTTGGTGCATGACAAGCCTCTTGCTCAGGAGTGGGGTCATGTAAGATATTTGTAATGAGGTCCCAGAGAGGATTGGAGTTGTTTGTGGTTCCCTGATTGAAGTCAAAAGCACCTGGGCCATCTGTGGTACCAGCTGCAAAACTGTGTCCCATTGCAGGTGGACATGTGGTTTTCTGTGAAGAGGTTCCAGGATCTAAATCTGAGGTTTCAATATTTCTAAATGCTTAACTTCAAATCCCCATTCACTTTCTAATTCACAGTATTTTAACCAAAATAAGTAAGACATTTTAGATGAAAGTGTCGTTCAGGATGATATTATTGGGCTTGAGCTGTTCCAAATGTTCAAATGTTCGCCTTTTCCTACCACCAAGAATCATCAGTGAGTACAGTGACCAAAGCAATGCATTTCTCCCATTTAATTTATAAATTATTATTTATTATTATTTTTTGTTGTTGAAAATAATATCCAGTGTAATCCTTAGGAAGGTATTTTAAGCCATTTCTCTCAAGTTCTGTAAAATTGCTTTTAAAATGGTCAGTGTTTGTTAAAAAATGATAAAATGCAGGGTTGAAGACTATAAAAAATAATCAACTGTGGAATAGTATATTTATAAGGAATATGTTTTCAGAAAGTGAAGATATGTTGTAGAATTATGTAAAAGTGATGACTTATATTCATAAGTAAACTTTGAAATAACCATGTGCATATACATACTGTTTCCATTTCTCCATTGGATGAAAGTTCCTGGAACTCATAGCTGCTCATATTGATATACTGGTGCTTGGTTTTCACTGAACCAATGATGGGAACCAACAAGCTCCTGTTGTTGAACAATTCCTGGAGAAATATGCAGGATAAAAAATAAACATCCTATATAACAAATTCTGAATGAAACCTCCTGATTTAATTTTTTCAGAGGGAATTTTGAACAAACTTTAATGTTAGTTTCCTCATTGTAACGTATTTTATTGTAAATTTTATCTTCCTCCACAACCAAACGAACAAAAGTATGAAAAAGCCTTGCCTGAATTTATTTGAAAACTATATTTGATGCAAGTGATATTTTTCGGGCGTAAACTTTTCAAAATTTGCTGATTTGACAATTATTTTTTTCTTCAATGAAACTAAACTTAAAGTTTCTAAAGAGATTGCAGACCCTGGTTTTAACTTTAGTTCAAAATTTAATGCTCTTCAAAAAATAACAATGAAAAATCAATTGCAAAAACATTGTTTGGTTGCTGAACAATTTTGGCAAAACACTCACATATGCCGCCTCAAACTGGCGATTGCCAATTATCGAGGTGCTTTCCTCCATGTCCCTACCTGGCCCACTGGCCACGCAGAGCTGGACGAACCCGCCACAAGTAGAAGTCAGTTGGTCGCAAGGAAGGCCAGTGTCTTGGCACTTGGGGCCCTGGATGTTGGGAGACACGTCACCCAAGTTGGATGCTGCAAAAGCTGCCACAAACTTGCCCTGCAAATTTCAATCAGTTGAAAGAAAGACAAATGACACTTACAAAAAATAAGAAATGCTTTAAAAGTTGCTTCACTTTATTAAAAATCAATCTTTCAGGATGTCCAAGTTTCTCTCATTCAAGGTTCCTTTATTCATCAATCAAAGACCAAATTTGGAGCAAGCTTCTGATCAGTTGCTAATGATGAATAAGAAAAGATATCACCCCTGAAAGGATTCAGTTTTTATAAATGATTAAAAGAAAATGGTTTTAAAAATATGGTCTTCAAAATATTACCTGTCCTGGCAAACTTTCTGGATTCAGAGCCTGTTCAAACAGCATAGAAGCCACTCCTTTGTTGTCACCAGATACTAGGGTGTTGGTGTTGTTCATTGATGTGGGATGGACAGCAAACCAATTCAGAACACCCAGGGGATTGCCTTGGGCATCATCAAAACGCAAAAGCCACATTGTCTTGTCCACATCAAATTCGTATCTGTGAAATAACATATGAAAGGTGAGTTGAAGGCAAGCATGTTGGAAAGTTTACTACTGAAGTTTCTCCAGAGTTCTTTCTTCAAATAAAACATGATTGAAATTTTTTTTAGAGCAGTATACAAAGCAGAAGCTTGTGAATTTCAAGTTAAACTTTGCATGCATGTTTTTAATTATGTCAATTTTCTCATGTTTTGGTCTAAAATATGTTCATGACATTGACTTGATTGGTTATTGACCTTGGATTTTTAAAAATGACTTAAAATGTAACAATTAACAAATATGAATTGAAACTCATACAATGCATTTGGGATTTTCTCAAAACCAAGTTAGGAAAGAACCAAGATAATGAAAAATCCTGTAATCAATGAAGTCATGCAGAAATTTAGAAAATCATGCTGTCCATTACTCCTGAAGAGGTAAAAACTTCTCTTTAAAAATTGGCAGAAATTCCAGCATTAGGCACTGTGTTTTTATTGTGTGTATGTCACCTGTTTTGCTCCTCCACAGGGTTGTTGAGATATGCCATTGGACTGCGGTTGATGTTGGCATCATTCACTTGTGTTTCTCCATACCAAATGTGGCCTGGCTGAAGATTTGCATGTGCTGCTTCAATGCTCTATAAAAAGCAACACATGTGTATGAATGGTAAATTTGCTTTCCTTCTTTGTTCTCCTGATGAAAACTGATCATAGTTCATAATATTCCAAAATCCCAAGATGAGCCATGAAGCATTTTCCCAAAGGTTTTGAAGCTGTTCAGGAGAGAGTGACTTGAAAATGAAACTGTTATAAATACTAAAACAGATGCATCCATTCACAATAATTTTGAATTAGGTAAAGGTTTTCATAGATGAAGAGCAATTCCTTGAAATTTATCTTCTGGTATGCCAGCCTTCAATTTTTTTCAGGTTGGATGACTCACAATAAGACTTCAAATGGGAACAAGTTCATTATTAAAGCATATGATGAACAGCTTCTTCCAACTTTTTTCCTCCTTCTCAACAATATACATCTATAGACCTTCTTCACTTGATTAGCAAAATAGAAAAGGATGACCAGCAGCAAACCTCTACAATGCCTTCCACTATGGCATCAGTGCTGTCAGCAATGTAGCCAAGATTGGTGATCTGGAAGAGAAAGTACTGGAGGTACCCAGCTGGCCCAGAGTGAGTGTGGGTACCACTGAGCAGGACATTGTGCCTGCCATACAAGCCTGGGAACTTGATTGCCAGCTTGTCTAGAACCAATGATGTAGTTGCAGCAGACATCATGCCAATATCAGAGCTCACAAACACAACACACTCATCAGCACCACTGCAGATGATGAATGAGCGAGCCCATTGACGGAAATGGATCCCTGTTGACACTTGGGATGCTGATGCATACCCCATCTATTGACAGAACAAAAAGATAACAGTTACAAATGTTTTGCCTGAATAGTAGTCTGCTTTTTAGTTCTTCAGGTCTTGACATAACCATAAAGTAGTAGTTTTTAATGAATGGGTGGATGGTGAACAATATTTTCACACTGGACATTTTATGATTAAATCTCACCATTTTATTCAAGTTGTCCATGAATCAGGCTGAAAACTAGAATAGTTCAAATTGCACAAAATGCTATAAAGATATTGTGTGTTTTATAGGAGAGTTGAATGTAAATTTTTTTTGGTCTCATTTGTTTGGATGGATGATGTAAATTAGGAAATATTATTTTACCATCACATACTAACCAAGGTTACTTTTCCCACTCTCAAAGGTTAGGAGATAGTGATTTTGTCTTTCCACTCTGAGGAAATATGGTACCACTAACACATATTTTTAATTAACTTTCACAAATGCTGAGCATTTAAAAATATTTAAAATAAATAGAAACTTTTAAAATTAGAATGCTCTACATTTTCAAACAATATTTATTTAAAGTTGTGATTTTGGGGCAAGTTTTGCAAAAGTGATCTTCAGTGTAGAATTCATCCAAACATTTTTGAGAGTAGGAAATCTTTAGCTCCTGAACAAAGAGGCTTGTTTATATCTTCCTTTTATTCATCCTACAGTGGTTTGGAGTACAGTACTAAATTAAATCAGAAACTTGGGTAGCCAAAGAAAAATTTTGAAAGCACTGAAAAACTTGTTAAAATATTTTCTCAAATTTTCATATGTGAAATACAATTCAAACTAACCATTCCAACTTCAGTGCAGGGTCCAGTCACATCAGCAATTCCCACACCCACCAGGAATTCATCCTCAGCCTGCCGCTGCCAATTTCTTGGTGACACATATCCAGAGAATGCAGATGTCGCTACAAGCAACACCATCAATATAACCACCACAGGTGAATGCATTTTTCCTGCTTGGCATGGACTGAATCATAAGTGAAAACAAGTGAAGGCATGATTCTTATCAAATAAGGAACAAAGGAGAGGCCAATGTTTATGTACCATCAGCTCTTACTTAATGCCATTAAGTTGACAAAAACCTAGGGAAGGTTCATAAAACCTTTTTTATTCATGTCACAGAGTGTGAGTGGCTTCATTATTTAAAAAGTATAATGTGGGTGTATATTTATTTCCATTTCATCACTGAATTATTAACTGTTTTGTCTGAAGCAGATTTAACTGACAATTTTTATTCAAATTTAATTCAGTCCACATTCTATTCCTCAGACACTGTTTCAATACTGCACTCCATTCAGGAATTTATTTAATGTATCATTTGATATGCTGTGTTACTGAAATAACTTTCTCAAGTACAAAAGGCATGCATATACATTACAGACATTAATTTAACTTTGAACCTTGACAATTTCTCTTTGCTCAACAGCAAAGCCATTAAATCTAAAAATGTGATGAAATAAAAAAAACTAATTAGCACAATCCCTCTACTCAAAAATACTGGATTTACTGTAATGACCTGAATCCTAAAATAATTACTGTATTGTATCTGTAAGCTACAGAATGTGTTGTTGAAGGAAATGTTGCTGTATTCCTGCGTTTATCACTTCCATTTTTATCTTTATTTCATTTTTATGAAGTGCAGCAAAAACTATCTGCGACTAAGAAAGATTTGTTTTGATAGTAAAAGTGCTTTTGACATTTTCACAGAGTTTTCTCCAGACTGCCCGGATTTATACTTGCTCTCATTAATTTTGGCATGTTTTGAATCCTAGAAAAATGGCGGATTAAATTTCTGCAACGCTAAAAAAGGGAACCAAACTACAGCTCAAAATTTCGACACAAAACCAATAAGGGGAGACGATACACTATATGACATAGGGGAGTTACTGCGAACAAGTTTCTGTATAATGACATGCGTGCTTCGTCTTATCTCCCTGGTTTTTGCTTTAAACTGAATATTCCTGATAGGGGAAAAAGGGAAAGTATAATATATACTTGATTATTTCGTGGGAAATTTTGCATTTCACGCATTTTGAATTTTATTAAAGCCAAGGTTATCCCGGATGTGGGTCTTCTTTTGTCATATGTCGCAGGCTGTGAGATATATTCTCTTGTTTTGCAATGAAATCATGGATTCCAGATTGAATTTGCAATAATGCACTTGAGTGGAGTTGCATTTGCATGCCTTTTTGTCCAGTTGGACAACAGGCAAATACTGTATGCAACAGCACAATGGAGCACATTTCCCCATCACTTTTGAAAGGACTACATTTTTTAATCCAACAGATTTAACTAATGACAAGCCTGACTTGGAAAATAATTTTTGAAGGTGGATATGAAACCTGAAAATTCTCAGAGAGATGCAATCAAGAAATGATTTTTTGAAGTACAGTATACAGTACCAACAATTATGCCATGTCTGTGACATGATTTTATGTAACCATAGTAAAATCTTGTTACAACAGATACCATAACAACAATTATTGTAGTATTGTATAAAAAACTTTTTTCAAAGTCCTCGTAGGAATCTGAAGGGTATATATTAAAAGGATCTCATTACAACAAACTAGCCAATTCCAGTACTGTATAAAAAACTTTTTTGAGAAACATGTCCTAATGAAAAATGCCCAAATGAAAGCAGGCAAAGTCTCAAAGTTCCCATTCAAAATGTGACTGCAACTGGTTTTTGGGACATAGGGTGGAATCAAGGACAAAACTTCTTTACAATTCACCTGAAGATCCCCTCTTTCAAAAATGTATTCTTGGGTTAGGAAAGATTTGGGGGGGGGTAAAAAAAATGAACCCAAAAGAACTCATGTTGAAGGGGTTTGTATAAGCTTAAGAAACCCTACTGATGCCTCAAAATTTTAAGCTTTTTTTGGAACATCCACCCTTACAAATCTATGCAGGGACAGCTTAGAAAAAATTCAATGTCAACAATGGCATTTTGATGAAACATTTATTCAAATTTCATAGCTATCTTTGAAAAGTATTTTATTTGTTGAATTTGTGCATTTAAAAAGTTAAAGTGAGCCAGAAAATGTAAAAAATATTTGAAGAATGATAAGAAAGGTATGAAATCTTCCATATTTTTTTGAAAAACAATTATAAAAGCTTTTGTTTCATGTTTCATCATAAAGTTTCAGGCCTTGATTGTGCTTAACATCTTTAATCTGAAGTTGATGAATCCTGATTTTTTTTTGAACATTTGGAACATCCACTCTTAAAAATCTGTGCAGGAACAGCTTAAAAAAAACTCAAAGTCAACAATGGCATTTTGATGAAACATTTATTCAAATTTCATAGCTATGAAAATTATTCTATTTGTTGAATTTTTGCATTTAAAAAGTTAAAGTGAGCCAGAAAATGTAAAAAAATATTTAAAGAATGATAAAAAAGGTATGAAATCTTCCATATTTTTTGAAAAACAATTTAAAAAGCTTTTGTTTCAGGTTTCTTCATAAGGTTTCAGGCCTTGATTGTGCTTAACATCTTTAGTCTGAAGTTGATGAATTCTGATTTTTTTGGAACATTTGGAACATCCACTCTTACAAATCTGTGCAGGAACAGCTTAGAAAAAATTCAAAGTCAACAATTGCATTTTGATAAAACATTTATTCAAATTTCATAGCTATCTTTGAAAAGTATTTTATTTGTTGAATTTTTGCATGAAAAAAAGTTAAAGTGAGCCAGAAAATGTAAAAAATAGTTGAAGAATGATAAAGTAGGTATGAAATCTTCCATATTTTTTTGAAGAACAATCATAAAAGCTTTTGTTTCATGTTTCATCATTAGGTTTCAGACCTTGATCATGCTTAACATCTTCAGTCTGAAGTTGATGAATTTAAAAAAAAGGGGTCACCATGAAAATCGGAATCTATTAATGTCCACTGACTCTAGGAAAAGGCTTTGACTGGTCCACGCCAGCCTGAGACACCAAAAAAATGGAATATTCCCTCCAACAGGACACTGCCTATAGGGCCACAATTTTATTTCAAACGCACACCCACAGTTACAGCACTATATGGATTTCTGTTATTTTCATTTTGCCGCTACAACTTTTCTTCTTTTTATTTTGGTTTATCAGACAGGTGTACTGTATTGTAATGTCAAAAGTTGGGTTCGTTTACGGATCAAAAGCACGAACAAAGAAAACCCAATTTCCATGGAAGGACACGCAAAATATTGACTGGGTTATGAAGGAAGCGGGCGTCATTTTTGCATGCCATAATTTCTGGAATTAAAGTCAGCAATAATTTTTCCCCACCCAAATGGAGTTCTTTCGTTATTTATTTATTTATTTATTTATTTATTTTGCTTGAGGGATTTTTAAAGTTAACCACAAAAAATAACCTTAAAGCTGGCAATTTATAATTTTCTCATTTATCAAGGTGGACCAAAATTAGCAAATGACTTTTTAAACAGAGATCTACAGATTGGCACAAGCCAGCATCTTGAGAATGAAATCCTCTGATTTTCCAATCACTCCCAAATGATGCAATTGCAGTTGTGCCTTGATTAACAAACTTTTTGCATAAATGACTTTGCATTGGAACAGATAAACAGTTAACTATAAGACACAGCTGTGGTTCCATTCCATTTGTTAAAGCCAAAAGCATATGATGCAAACAAGATTGTACTGGTAATTTTTGTCTCGGTTAGCAGACTTTTTTGCTGACAGACTTCTCATTGGGGAAAGATTGTCAGTTAATTAAGGAGCAACTTTTCTTGCATATAATTTCATATGTTCTAAAGCGGTGTGCTGTTCTAAGAATATGTTAAACAAGACAAATATTTAAAAAATGTATCTTAACTAAGGCACAGATTTACTTGCATTTGACGTCATCTGATGGTTCTACAGTATGAGAAGTAGGCCATTTGAAAAGTCTGTCCATCTGGAGATCTTGGACAAAAATTTGAAAGTGAGACCCCAAGATGCGGACATAATTGGTGCATCAAGAGCGTCCCTAAGTTGAATTGTCCCTAAGTCAAGTCTTGTTTTCCCATAGGCCTACATTATATAATTTTTAATTGGTGTTTTATGGATTTTATGGAAGAAATATTCTTCAGAATTCCCTGAAAAAATTGTTAAGTCACTTGAATTCGAATTAGTGAATACATTTCCAACTCAATAAGAAAATTTGGAGCATTGAATAGTGTATCTCTGAACTTTATATTGAAATGTTGGCAACTACAAAAATAACACTCAATTGAAAAAAAATGTAGAGGTCCATCTATGCTGGAGGTAATTTTAAAAAAATTAGCTAAATGGGGTGAGAGAAATGCCCAACAACTTTTCCAACATCAATTTTAGGGTTGGAAATATCTGTTTCTTGTAATTTGGCCTGAAAAGTATTTGCAATTTCATCACAAAATGTCCCCATATGTTGAGTCAGTTTGTGTCCTCATGTTGGGCCTTTTCTATCAATCTTTTCTGGGAGAATAAGTGTCCCTATGTCGGATTGTCCACAGGTCGAGGTGTCCGCATGTGGGGGTCTCACTGTATGTGTTATATAATTCCCTTTAAGATCACAAAAAAAGAAAATTCCTAGTGCCCAGCGCAATTTAAAATACTTTTGGAAAGAGTCTTTCACAACGTTCCAATTCCTGAGAATAAATCTGAAAACACGTATAATCCAACCAGAAAAATAGAAGAAGAAAAAAAAAAAACACTCGGAAAACGAGAGAAAAAACCATTTTAAAATTGATCAAAAACCAATTCAAAAGATTTCAAACATTTAAAAGTTAGTACTGGCAAGCACGTGTGATCCGTATACTGTACATTCCAATGTTTAGAACAACATCCAATACCATTCTCACACTATATATTGCATACAATAGTCCGTTATCCAAGTCAGAGTCTGTGACAGCGCAGTGTTTTGTCAAGTAAAAAATATGCTAGGATGATAAGTGTCCTTGACTGGGGTACTAGTACCTTTAAAATATATTTAAACAAGGAGAGAAATAATAAGGGCTTGAGTTGTATTTGCACGTTCAACTAATTCAAATTTACATTAAAAATACTTTCACATTCTAAGCAAGGGAGGAATTCCATTCAATAACATGTGATCAGAAAATTAGAATCCAGCTTCTCAAGTTAATTGCGCTGGACACATTTTTGGTAAATATATGCCTGATTGCCTTCTTAATCCTATCCACCGGAAACATTAGGTTATGAATCAAATTCTCAAAAGCCACCAATAAAGAAATATCAAATTCTTGAAAAAATAGTTCCTTTGTCCTTCTGCAGATGGCATGAAGAAATGTGTGCCTTATTGCCTGAAAGAAACTTACAGGAGAAATTCTTGGTTCTGCTCTTGGAGTAAGGTATACCATGACACATGTCTGAGTGCAATCAATAACACAAAATAAATTCGACAAGGCGGAAAAATAAACACGCCAAGAAAAAAAAAAACGTCAGCGGGTTGACAAAAGGTATCAATCACTTCTCCCTTCTAAACGGGTTATTGCTAAAGTTGTTGTATTTGATTCAATTTTTTTGTGGAACGACGTTCACTTTTAAGATTCTTAAAATTAATTAGTACAATCGTTTGGGCGTCCGATTCAGTTGCACCATAAATCCTGGTTCTCTTCAAATTATCCCAACAGTTTGACATTGAACCTATTTGCATAGAATAAAACTGATCCCATCAAAGAAAAAAGAATTTAGTTATTTTTTGGAAGGAGGTGAATTTGCGTCGCACCCAAAAGTGAAGAACGCAATTCGGAAAGACGGCAAAAAATACGAAACTCTGTAGGTTACAAGAAAAACTACTGGAAAAACGACAAGAGGTAATTTTAGTTTTCTGTCGACTACTGAGAAAGCTTTGGTCAATTTTTTTTAAAATCTTTCAACTGCGGGGATTTCAGCAGTTGAAGCTCCAGCTTGGAAAAATTGACAAGGGAGACATTAAGAAACGAAAGACGAAAAAGTTTGTGACGCAGCTCGGCTCGATTCCTTTGGTTTCGAAAATTTTCACTCTTTTTCTTCTCTGACAAAAAACGATTCATATTGAAATAAAATCCATGGGTGGTTCTAAATTAATCTGTTTTCCTTTTTTAATCAGGGAAAAATGATCTCTCCGAAAAAAATGAGGTTGCTGAGCCCCGGAATTTTTTTCGTTTTTGTTTTCAGTAAAATCAGAGTTTGAAAAATTTCGGTGTCTGCTCACAGTTGCCAATTTTCACACGCAGGACGAAAGCTAAAAATCGTATTTCTGGTACAGTAGAGTACGACATGTTTGAGCAATAATGGCAGATTTAATGAACTCACGTGTCAATCGAAACTTGAAAGAAGAAAGTAAATTATAATTGCTCTAATCATGTTCATTTTATCCACCACAGGGCGTGTTTAAACGTAGTTTCGCAGTGAAAAACACATTTTTTAAAAACACAAGGAACAAAAATACCGGGGTAAAAAAAATAAACTGAAAGAACGGCACGAGGCGATGTTTTACTTTTCTTCTGTACAAGCAACTGCAGCAATACTGCTTCAGTATTTTTTCTAAAATTCCCTTGAGTGAATTTCTATCGATGTTTCAGCAAGAGGATTTTTCACAGATCCGAAAAATTGATGAGAATAAATTCAAACCAGCTTTGGTTTATTGATGGAAACAGAGAAAGGGTGGCATTGGATTTACAGACGCGCAAGAGCGAAGCATCTGTTTGATTCCTGTTTCAGAGCAGAGAAGCGACATCTGCTCGCGACGTTTCAAACTCATGGGTGAATATTTTCAAACACGGGGGTTGGTCAAACACCAGCTTTCGGGAACAATTTGACAACTACACTTTTAATGGAGACCTGAAGAAAAAATTTTGGGTGTAACCAAGGGTTGAAGGATTTGATCAGAAATAATTCAAAACATCAAATCGTAAATCTTGACAAATTTCCATCACACTCTTCAAAGAGAAACACGCCAAGCCAGAAATTGTTCAGAATGTGAGGAAATAAATGTAAAAAAAAAAACGCAGTGGCTGCCAGTGTGAAGGCATAATAGAACTTGAATATTTTCAACACCTGTCACATTGTGATCTTCATTGACATCAGCAGAAAATCAATCACTGATCTTGAGAAGGCATTGTAGCACACTCATTAAAGACAGAAAACCTCATCAGGTCAAGAAAGAAATAGCGGGAAAAAATCGCGTAATCCTTGACAATCGTGAAGGACGAGCTCCATGAAAAAAAAAAAATTCTTCATGCATTTTTACCATTGCAAATCCCAGTGGAATAATCTCAGCTTTTTTCCCCCTGATTTTCAGAAAGTTTAACCTGCTTCCCCCAAAAATTATGCACTGAACTTCTCAAACGCTTGAATATTTACAAACATCAATTGAATATAATATATTGAGCCGTTTGACTGCTGAGTTATCTTGAATTCTTACACTTTCATACCCATATAGAAAAAACATTTCAATAAAGCGGAAAAAAAAGAAACTTGATGAGAGAAAAAAAAAACGCAAGTGGGATGGAACCACGTATCAATCACTTATTTCTTTGAAACGGGTCATTCCTAAAGATATTGATATTGATGCAATTTCGTTCAGAACAATGTTTAATTTTCAGATTTTTAAATGAATTAGTCCGAGGAAAAACATCAGCATGGGCGTCCGATTCATGTGCATCATAAATCCTGGTTCTCTTAAATTTCTCCCGTCAGTTTGACATTAAGCCTATTTGCACAGAATAAAACTGATCCGATTACAGAAAAAGGATATTAGTGATGTTTTGGAAGGAGGTGAATTTGCGTCACACCCAAAAGTGAAGAACGCAGTTCGTAACCAAGGCAAAAACACGAAACTCCGTCGGTTACGAGAAAAAATACTGGAAAAACGTCACAAGGTAATTTTATTTTTCTGTCGACTTGACTTGTGAGAAAGCTTTGGTATTTTTTTCTTTGTTCTTTCAACTGCGTGGATTCCACCAGTGGAAAGCACCAGCTCGGAAAAATTGACAAGGGGGAGTTTGAGAAACGAAATACAAAAAGTTTGTGTCGCAGCTCGGCTCGATTCCTTCGGCTTTAAAAATCTTCGTATGTTCTCTGTCAGAAAACGGTACATATTGAAATAAATAATTAAAATTAGGAGGATTCTACATGAATCTACATTCCCTTCTTAATTAGGAGAAAGGTTATCTTCGAAAAAAAAAAAGGTTCCTGAGCCTGGATTTTTTTTTAAACTGGAAAATCGGTGTTCGAGAAATTCCCGTGTTTGCTCAGAGTTGCCAATTTTCATCACACACACGACAAAAGCTAAAAATCCTATTTCCGGTACAGTAGAGTACGACATGTTTGAGCAATGATGGCAGATTTCATGAACTCGAGTCTCTTCAATCAATACTTTGAAGAAGAAGCAAAAAAAAGATAATTACTCTAATCATGTTCATATTGGGTCCATCAAACGGCATATTTTAACATATTTTCGTACAGTGAGAGACACATTTTGTAAAAACACCAGCAAGAAAATCCGCGAGTAAAAAGAAGAAAATACTGGAAGAACGACACGAAGCGATGTTTTTCTTTCTTTCTTTCTGTGAACGAAACTGGAGCAAGATGGCTTCAGTAATTTTTTTCAATTCCCTTGAGTGAATTCTACCGAAGTTTCAGCGGGGGGGGGGGGGGGGGGGGGGGGGGGGGGGGGGGTGGNGGGGGGGGGGAATGGGGGAGTTGTAGAATAAAGGAAGAAAGAAAACGTTGGCGAACGTCAGAACTTTGCCAGCTTCAGTCTAAGGTGGAATAATCACCAAAGTAAAAGTCGAGCAGTTTTTTTATTCAAGAAAACTTCTTTGTAGAATTGCTGGATAATTCTCGAGTTTTTTCGTTTCCATCATCTTACTGTTGGTGAATTTCTACCATAAAGTAGTTCTGAAAAATGAAGTCGTTTGTCCTTGTGTCAATGATGACGATGATGGTGATGTCGACATCAACGTCGTCGTCAAATCATACGACAAATGAGGTGAGCATTTCTCAACAAAAAAAATAATAATCTGAGGTAGTGAGAATTTAATATGCTGCTGTTGGACCGGTGATTTTGCCATAGTTTTCTTCTTGTCGTTGTGATTTCTGTATTTAAAAAAAAAAAAACCCCATGTGTGTCTGAAAAATTCAATACTGCCTAATACTAAAGTCAAAGTAGAGGGAAAAGCATGGTTCCGAGCCATAACAAACATTTTGGAAAATTAGCCCATCCAACAGCCACAAAAGGTTTGAGAGCACTGACACACTGTTAATTTTGCATAATGGGCCAAGAATTCGAATAAGTCGAAATACACTTTGATGTCTGATGAAACTGAAATATAAGGTGTCTTTAAAAAATGAATCATGACTTCAATGAAACGCAAATTCTTCATTTGTTCTCTGAGCTAAAAAAAAATAAATAAATAAAGCCACTCGACGAATAAATTCGTCGAGAAAATCATCAAAATGTCTTCAAATATTCTTTTGCTGTCATTCGCCAGCATCAGAGACCACTAGGAAAATCGGCCATTGGACGGATCCTCACTGCGGAAGACAAAGACTCTTCGTTTATGGTTGTACTGAAGCCAATTTTAGAAGGCAGTACTTACAATGCAGCAACGAATCCCGGTTGCCTCATATCAGAAAGGTGAGACATGGACATTTTTTTCCTCTTACCGAACATTAAGATAATCTAACTCTTGAGTTGTCAATACTGTGTAGATGTTGCCTCCATGATATAAATAGCTTTTCTGCCGTGGGTGTCTCCAGGAGTTCTTCTATAAAGCTTTCATTTCTTAGTGAATTTTTAAAAATAAGATGAATGAGTTACAATATGAAGATGTCCTTTCTTCAGCTGGCGGCGGTGCTTTGATGAATAAGACTTATACAGAAGATGAAGTGTTTATTCTCAATTCCCCTTCAACAACCAAATGAAGTACAGTAATAATCTCCAGACTAACAATTAGTGGAGAAAGAGGACTTGATGCACACTCATGTGCAGGTGGAACCAGGGAAGTCAAAAGGTGAACAACCAGTGGCCAGACACAGGGAATTATAAGCAACTTGGTTCCTACTGAACATTAAAAAAGTATGGCTGCAACACGCAAAAGTTAAAATGGGTATTCTAACTGTATTTTGGTACACACAAAATATAAATTGACATTTTAAAGAAAACATTTCTGAATGAAGAGTTGACATTGTGTGTACTGTGGAATAAAAACACCTTCAGAACTCCTGCGCTTGTGTAATACACATTCTTGACTTTATTTTGCAGGGCTATTGTGACATTCTACCTAAGTCTGGATCCTGCTTACTGGACTAACAGGGGTACTGTGGTTGGGGTAAACGCAACAGCTGGCAGACTGAAGAGTGCAAGTGAATCAGATTTGCAAGTTCGTTATGCCAATAACAGCAACATCAAGAAGTTTGTTGGATACACCAATGAAGATACTGGAGATGTCAACTCAATTTTCAAAAATTACTTGGCCATTGTCACAGTGACTGATCCCTTCATCATTGGGGATGCTGTCAAGCCCATCCGGGTGTCCACTAATGGGCCAAGTCTGGTGGGCATGGAAGTTCAAGGATTGTATTCTCAGGCTGCTTCTACAGGTCAGTGCCATTATAAATGTGCAGCAGTATAAAATATTGTGAGTCTACTATTAGGACTAAAATTCTGTCATCTCCAACACAAAACACTTTTTTTTGTTGGGCTAAAAACACTTCAGACACAATAGAGATCCAAAAAAAACATAATGACAGAAATAACAGCAATCTCCATGTCTGCAAAGATTGTGTATCATAAATGAGGACTTGTTCCATTTCTGGAAAGTGCCACTAGTTATAAATTGAGATGTTTAGTGATGACCTGGAAACACCATTGCAGGTTTGCATGCAATGTTCTTGTTTTGTGAAAATCCCCATGGTTGAAGCCAGAATAAACTATGAGTACAAAAATAAGGTTTATTTTTAAAACAAAAAGCTTTAATCATCTTAAAGACTTTGCTTTGTTCTGCACTCTGTGAAACTGGATTTTGTTCTCTTGATTCAATAATTTTGTTTTTGAGATTTTAATCCTCAACACATGTGAATACCTTGGTTAAAAAGATAAATAAAAATAAAATATCCTCCTGCTCTAATCTTACCTCTCAGAACTGGCTGACTGCTGATGCGTTGTACATGGTAGACGAGTTCTGGCACAGCAGGAAACTCCTTCTGTCTGCTAAAGCTTGCTTGTTTCTGAAGTGATGGAAGATCACCTTTGATGGAAGAAACAAAGCAAGATTTCCGATAAGTTTCCCTGTTTCAGCAAAGCATGAGTTTCAACAACTTCTTTGCACACAAAATAAATTGTGCAAGAGATATAGAATGTCATTCAATATGGCATGTGATTCTCATGTTAGATAGAACCCTGACATTTTTCAGAGTTCCAAAAAATTGATGAGAATAAATTCAAACCAGCTTTTGGTTTTTTGTTATAGATACATTACTTAGTACAGTATTTTGAAAACCATTTTTTTCGAGTGGACATCTGAGGTGTACTGCTGTGTTTCAGCAAGTTGGTGGCTGCTTTTCATGAAAACATAGTTTTTTTTTCATTGGTGTGAGCAAATACTGCATTTGAATCAAAGTTTTGTTTCATCTCATGACCTAATTTTTGTTTGCCATAACAATAGCCATTTCAATACTCTGTGCTTGTCCTTCCAAAGCCTTTTCTTCTAATTTGCTAACATTCTTTAGAGACATCCACATACGAGGCCCGGAAAATAAACATCACTCTGACTGGAACAGCATGTCCATCAAGCATCAGTGGATTTCAGGGTACTTTGGACCCAGCTGCTGTCTCATGTATGACGACTGGTCCATACATGTCTACCAACAGCTGTTTCACGGTGATTTAATCTTAGTTTATCATCTTGAACGTAATGGGATCTCATTTGGCTTCTCCTTTTTGAATCGAAAAACAAAAAGCTCTTCTGGGGGTCAGCCATAGTGGTGCGCGGGACAAACGGTGTCAATTACTTGGTAGCCCTTACCAGAAAAAACATTTGCGACTTTTCAACCAAAAACTCAACTTTTATCGGTTCCTCATTTGCCTACGCAAGCCACAAGGATCAAGTTTGCAGCCTGCCCGGTGTGGAGTGTGAGGATGCATTCCCAACAACCACCAGCACCAGCACCAGCACCACCACCACCGCCACCGCCACTGCTGCCACCACCACCACCGCCAACGTGAAGACCACTGGAACCACCCCAGGGCGCCAGTCCCAAGATGAGCAGCATCAGGAAACTGGAGCAAAGACCTTCTTTGGACTGCTCCGCATGTTTCAAAGATTGATGGGAGTACAATGTTGAAATGCCTGCCAAATGACAAAATATGATTCAACGATGAGATTTGCCTCGTTTGATTATTACCCCAATAAGGGGGTAAGCATCCATTTGCTCACGTAATTGTGTTGAATTGTATGTTTAAAGCACATAGACGTTTTACTGTTTTGTTTCCTGTTGCAGCGATGAAGTGGGTGGAAAAATTGAAATGCACGTGTTCCACAGGTTTTTGCACCAAAATGATGTGTTTTCTTCATTATTGAAAGTTGTATACAGTACTTTACTTGAAAAAAAAAAAAGTTGAATCGAATCTCAAAGAGGTTAAAACAATGCATCACATTATTTGCAGAAGTATCAATAAATACCCATTGTATGCTTCAGAAAATCAGCAGCACTAAATTACAAGTTTAAAAAATGCATTCATGTTTGTTTTTTTGGAATAAATTCAGTACTGTCTCATGTCAGCAACACTGAAAAAAAAAATTAAAATTAATCATGGGGGGGGGGACAACTTAACAAATAACCATTTGATTTTTCACCAGGATAAATCAATAGGTGATTCACTTTCCATTGGCTCTACGGTCATGGGAATATTGGCACCCAAAATACAAGATTTATTCAAACAGGTATGATACATAAGAAATTAGAATTGATCATTTCTATGCCAAAGATGAATAACTTGATATTTTCTTTGCCTTTTCCTTTGCCGTGGGTGGAATCATTTTTCATGTGTTTGCTGAACACAAGTTTTTAATGAAACACCAAGCGAGGAAAGATTGTGAATACTCATCCAACCTGTATGTTTCAAAAGTATTGTTTTGACTCGGATTTACCAGCAAAAATTAGAAAAATCTTTTGTTCAAACTAAATCACAAACAGGAGAGGATAACATTGAAACTTTTGCTGGTAAATTCTTGAAAACGTATAGTGAAAACATTTAGTAGATTAAAAAATTAATCTAAAAAACCACCTTTTCAAAAAGCAAAAAATAACCTTAAACGTGGTGCGCATCTATTTCATTTGTTACAAACAAACGGACAAGAAAGCGAGTTAATAAAAACGTGTTAAAATGTCATCGAGCACAAATTTGATGGTAAACAAAGAAGGATCCGAAACGTATTTATGAGAGAAAGAAAACAGGTTCATGTGCATTCAAACGTTGAAATGGCAGCGATTGATCAACAAAAATTGTGGTTGGAATTATCCCAACAAACTCTGATGAAACCAACAATAAATACAGAAAAAAACGTCATTTTTGGCTTACTGCACGTTAGCAGTGAAATATTTTGGAATTTATAGGTTCCATATGAGAGATGAATAAGAGTGGAAAAATCGGGGTTTTTGAGAATTATTTGATGGGAAGTGTGGCTTCGGATTTGTAGACGTAGGAGGTGAAGCATCTGTTTGATTACCCATGCAGAGCAGAGAAGCGACATCTGCTTGCTACGTTTTAAACTCAGGGGTGAATATTTTCACACGCAGGCGTTGATGCAGTACCCGCTTTTTGGAACAATTGGACAACACTTTTAATGGAGACCTGAAGAAAAAACTTGTGATCGAAGCATCTGACCATAAATCAGTCAAAGCATCAAATCTCAATCCTGAAAACTTTCTATCACACTCTTCAAAGAGAAGCACAAAATTATTCAAAATGTGAGGAAATAAATGTAAAAATACCGCAGTGGCTGCCTATGCAAAGGCATAATATAACTTTGATTTTTCAATCCCTTTTTATATTTTGATTTTTTTTAAATTATGAGAGGATGAGTTTTTCAATCAAGAATTGCACTCTGTGTTTCCGAAAAATCGCATGCAACTTCCAATGGAAAAAGAATTCTGAGGAGAAAACAAATTTGTGAAATGAGGTTAGGAACCCATTGCATGGATTATTTATGATTATAAAAATTTGAGGCATGGCATAGACAGACTTTTTCAATTACTTCAGCTTTTTGTGTTCAATAAACGTCTGTAAACATTCCTAACTTATTTTCAATTGAGTTTTCATCATTGTTGGAGAGGAATTTTCCTGAAATCCTTGCAGAAAAATAATCAGAACCTCTGTCATCCCATTTCCAAAATTAAAGAAAGTAAATTATTTACATGATTAGGAAGAATATCCAAACAATTTTCTTGAAATTTGATTCAACAACATTTTTATCATGGGAAATTATCAATAACTTTCCAATGAAACCCTTTCAAACCTAATGTCAAACCCTCACAGGCTCTGCTGAGGGGGGGGGGGGGGGGAAAAAAAAAAAAAAAAAAAAAAAAAAGAANGGGGGGGGGGGGGGGGGGGGGGGGGGGGGGGGGGGGGGGGGGGGAAGATACAAAGATAAAATAGAAGAAAGCAAGGGAAATAATAATTACCAAGAATAAGCCAGCTCCTAAGGATTAAAAAAAAAAACTTTGATCATAATCCTCCTTCCATTATTCCAAAAACCAGACAGAGTAATTATAAATAATCAGAAATTCCTTTCCCTGGTGTTGCCAAAATCGTCAACAAAGGCACACATGCTCCTGAACCGAGATTTTGCTACAATGAGTTTCCACACCTTACCTGTCTTCCCTTCTGATTGAGCAATGTAGTATGCAAGTCAGTACCTGCACAGGTACATGATTCTACACAGATACTTCCTTGTCCCATATTCAAAATTTTGGAGTACTGAAACTCCTGCCATATATCCACCCAAACAAGGCATTATCGCAGTGACTTTTATTGGAAAAATCTGTGACTCTGTCTCTGTGAGTCTGGTGTAATTGTGGTTTTGTACCAAAGTGCAACTGTGTCCCCCAAACACCAACCACTCCTGCAGAAAGCTGCAAAAATTTCAAGGGATTGGATGAAATCAGCAGCCATCTTAAAACAGGGCAACCAGCCCAGGAATGAAAGAATTTTTATTCAGCTCAAGTCAATGGACCCCCTTTTTTCCCCCATATCCCTGATAATTCATTTTGTAAAAACAAATTTTCATTATACAGCGCAGAAAACTAAGAAAAAAGTTGTTCTTAATTTTCACTTGCACATACATACATACATGCACCAAAATTCTTTTTTTCATTTCATATCTCGCGTGACGTGGAACAAAAAAAAAACACATCAGAATCACAAGATATGAAATGCATCTTGAATTATTCAAAACTCAGACTTTGAAGCTCTCCAGTCCTTTTGTTCCTATTGGTTCCTTGTAAGTTTCAGTCCCCTTCATCACATCTGACGCTTGATTTGCAATGCTCAATTGTATGCAAATTTTCCGTCCAAGAAGAATAAAGTATTATTCCACATCAACACAGGAGACTCTACGTTTCTCCACTTTCCTGCTAGTGTGTGGCAGAATTTCAGTCTGGGCCCTGGAATCGCAGTGTGATTTTTTGTTGTTGCTTTGGTGTCAAATATTACACTAGAATTAAAAAAAAGATGTCATTTCTGGCAACATTGGCTAAGGGGATACCCTTGGACCCTTTGCCACCTCCTCAGGGTTCCAGGGATCATTCTGTTCCTCATGCCCCTGTCAGGAATGCTCCTTTGAGTCCAGAAGAATGCAAGGTGATGTGATGCATTCTTTTATTGGAGTTGATTTTCATGTGACCAATTATTTGTCAGCAGAAGAAAACTGTACTCAAATTCTTGAAGAGTTTTTTTCCTTGAGGTCCTCATAATATGAGGGAAACAATTTTAGCAGAAATAATTTGCAAAGTTGTGGACAATCAAAAAATCTCTGCTCCTAAATCTTGACATTGTCTCAATAAAGAAAGAAAAAAAAGTAAAATGTTGTGAAAAGAAAAGCAAAAGATTAAATTTAAATTGGCAATGAACAAAGTGATGAGAATCAACCAAGGACACACACTCAAAATAAGTCTCATAGATTTACTCTAATTTAATGCTTTTGCTAAATGGGCAACTTTGGCAAAAATAAGTTGCTAAGTTGTGGACACTCAAAAAATCTCTGCTACAACATCTGGACATTGTCTCAAGAAATAAACAAAATTTAAAATTTTATGAAAAGAAAAGCAAATATTAAAGTTAAATTGACAATGAACAAAGTGGTGAGTTTCAACCATAAGGACAAACCCTCAAAATAGGTCTCATAGATTTCCTCTAATTTTCTGTTTTTGCAAAATGGGCAAATTTTGTGCATTTATTTCTGGAGATTCTTTCATGAACTGTGTACATTAAAAAAAAATGTGCACTGTTTCCCTTTTTCTTTTTTTTTCAGTGTATGAAAATATTTATTGTTCATCTGACTGAAAGGCTATGTACATGACTGTTTGTCTTTGTTTCAGCTGGCTGTGAGAAACGCCTTGAGGTATTTTCCTCCAGAGTTTCATGCAGTTTTAGGCCCAGAATTTGCCAAGGAATTGAAGGACTATGGCCATATTTACATGTATCGCTTCAGACCAACTTTCCCACTCAGGTACACACTCTTATCCAAAATTATGAACACATTTTTACTACCATTTTTCTTTGTAAAAAACTTGCCTTTTAGCAAGGTACAGGTTTCATATTCAAATGAAAATAAAGAGCAATTGTTTGGTTGTAATCTGGATTGGTGATGAAATTTTTGGCAATAGGAAGGATGTTTTTTGTGACATGTTGAAGATAGAGTTTGTATGCAAATGAGGAGAGAAATTAGATTTTGCAGCTTTTATTCCTGCAAAAGTAAATGGAGCATAGAAAGTGCAAGTTTCTTAAAGTATCCATAGCAAACCTTTCAATTTCAAGATATTTATTGTGCTAACAGGTTCAGGTGTATTACAAGTCTGTAAGAATTTTGCCATAGCTGAAATACTGTATATGTATATTTTTAAATTTAGAAACTAAAGCAGTGCCGGTTCTTTTTTTAGTAAGCCCTCAAAAAGTACATAGAGATCAGTAATAATGTTGATGATTGATTTTTTTATTGATTCATCAACAGGGCTTATCCAATTACTTGGTACACAGCAGCAAATCTGGAAGGATCAGCAATTATGCTCATGATCATGAATAATTTGGACCCAGCTGTTGCACAGTTTCCCCATGAACTGGTCACTTATGGTGGGAATGGACAAGTCTTCTCAAACTGGGCACAGGTTTGCCTTTTTTTCTGGTCAAAAGGTCATGGTAAAAAAAAAATCAAAAGCAAAACATCACCAGATTTTGAAAATTTTAAATTCAGCAGGAAACATGTTTATGGATTCATAAAAATATTTTGTTCTGAATGAAAATTAATTTAAAGCACTATCTGATAAACATACATAATATTGTAAGAATGACTGGCAATTTTTCAGGAGAGGATTTTTCTTAGAATTCATTTTCCACTAAATATATCTTATGTTGAGAATTTGTTCATTTTTTGTCCACCCTGCATAATGCAAGATTCTGGTACACAATACTGTATTTTGAGGCAATATAAATTTAGTTTTGGTTTTTTTTCATCACAACTTTCTTCTCAGTTTTGGTGGTAGAAAAATGAAAATACTTCCTGGAATACTGTTTTTCATGAATGCATGTACTTCACATCAATTTGGGACTTGTGTTAAATTTAATCATGTTTTTGTGTTGCATTCAAGTTTTGGCTGGTCATGAAGTATCTCAGTGAGCTCCAGCCAACTGGAACACTGGTCATCAACTCTGGACATCCAGCAGGAATTTACCCAAATCTGAATCCTGACACTTCACCAAGGGCTGTAATCAGCAATGGGATGGTTATTCCAAATTACTCAAAACCTGAGGATTATGACAGGATGTTTGCCCTTGGGGTCACAATGTAAGATTTATTATGTCTTACAGGTAAAACTCTCAGGAGCTTCTTTTAACATATTTGTGAGTTAATCTGCAAACCACTTTGAACTACCTCTCCAGCATTCAAATGATTTTAAAATGCATCCATAGTTATCCATTTGACTTCCTCCGGAGGAGTCAAGCAAAAATTTTAAAAGAAAATCTGAAAAAGAAGATTAAATTGTAATTAGTTTGCATCAGACTTTCCTTAGAAATTCTTGATTTTTCCACATTTTCATGCAATAATTTTCAGATTTTATGGATCAAAAGTACATAATTGACCACAAAAATTATTCTTCCTGTGATAAATTGCTCAGAGTACGTGTAAACATATTCCTAATCATTTTTGCTCATCATTCCAGGTATGGACAGATGACAGCAGGAAGCTATTGTTACATTGGTCCTCAGGGTATAGTTCATGGGACAACAGTGAGTTTTCTATCTCAAATGGCTGACACATGGGCAATTGCAAATTGAGGTTCCTCTTGTTTATTCAGATAACAATCATGAATGCAGCAAGGAAATATTTGGGAACTAATGATTTGAGAGGGAAAGTATTCCTCACATCAGGTCTTGGTGGCATGAGTGGGGCTCAGGCAAAAGCAGCAATCATTGCTGGTTGCATTGGACTAGTGGCTGAGGTGAGATTCAAAATGTATTGTTAAAATTGATCTTGAAAATACAGTAATCATAGAACAAAAATACTGTACTTCATTCATAATACAGTAATATGTAATTTTTTAAATTTTTTTACTGATGATATGTATGAATTTGGCTCAAGGTTTTATCATAAATAGACCTGATCCAAATAATTAGAATGAACTTGACCAATTTTTGTAACCTAGCAAAATTTTTAATGAATGTCATCTAAAATCTAAATGGTCCATAAATGACTATGAAAGTGACATTGTTTCGAATTTCAGCATTTTACATTCCAGGAATCTAATTCTGTACATTTAAATATAGTTTGTAAGTTATTTAATCAAAAAGGTTAATTTAAACAGTTTTAATACTTGAACTCATTCTTGTGGAGATGTTGGAAGGCATTGCAACAGGGCAATGTGAACTGCAATAGTTCTGTAAAAAGGATATTCTGCTGTGAAGGAAATGTTTTTGAGCCCACCTTGACTTTCAGTTTCCAACAATAACAAGAATGGGTAATTTTTTAATGTGTTCACTCACTTCACTGTAATGTTCTCATTATGCAGGTATCAGAGGAAGCCTTGGACAAACGTTTTTCCCAGAAGTGGGTGATGGAGAAGTTTGGCAATGTGGATGATGTTATTGAGAGAGTGAAACAAGCCAGGAAACTGAAATTGTCAACAAGCATTGCCTATTTGGGAAACATTGTGACTCTCTGGGAACGCTTTGTTGAAGAGTACAAGAAAACTGGGGTATTGTTGGTGGACTTGGGGTCTGATCAAACTTCTTGCCACAACCCCTTCAATGGGGGTTATTATCCAGTTCAACTAAGTCTCCGTGAAGCTCAAAAGGTAAATAATTCAGTTTTTTGTGTGAAGTTTCCATCTAAAAAAAATGTATTACCTTTTTTCAATTATAAAACCCCTCGAATCAAAATTGCACATGCTTCACTAGTCAAATATTTCCAAAAATTGCATCACATAAACCTTGCCATCACAGTACATTTTCAGTAGAAATGTGACTCGCTTTTGAAATATTGAAGATCTCAAGATTGAAAGGAGAAGTTTCAGCCACTTTTTCAATTTTAAAACTTCCCATCAAAATCATCATTTAAAAAAATTTAGTAGATTAAAAAAGTAATCTAAAAAACCACGTTTTCAAAAAGCAAAAAATAACCTTAAACGTTTGCATTGTCATCAGTTTCTAAGCTATCCTGAAAGTTTCAGCTTGCTAGCTAGTTGGGAAGTGAGCAAAATTTGAGTTGCAAAATTTGATCCAGACAAACAAACAGACAAGAAAGCAAGTTAATAAAAATGATCCTCATGATCTTATTTTCAAGGATATCTAGATTTAATGATGACTATGACATTTTGATGAAGAATACCAGGAGGATCCCCATGTATATTGTCACAGATGAATCTCAGTCAGTTTCTAATGACATAATGTCCAATGTTCAGGAGATGAGGAAGAATCCAGAGAAGTTCAAGGCACTGGTGGAAGAAAGTCTGAGAAGACAAGTGAAAGCCATAAATTTTCTGGCAGACCAAGGATTGCATTTCTGGGATTATGGAAATGCATTCTTGCTCCAGGCATCCAGAGCAGGTGCTGATGTAGGACAAAGTGATCCCACAGGAGCCCATGGGCCTCAAATCAAGTTTCGCTACCCATCATACATACAAGACATTCTGGGGTAAGCATTATGTGACCAATGGTGGGGTTTTTTCATGGTTTTTTTTTCAGGTAAAATATGCAATTATTTCAAGTAGTTTGAAATAATGTTACTGTACAGTGAGATACCAACATGCAGAAAATTTGACTTGGGGACACTTGAAAATGTGGAAAAATTGGGCCCAACATCTGGACACTTTTTCAGCATTCCTAGAAAAGCTAAACATTTTAATATTTCGAAATTTGAATATCTCTTGAACAAATTGAGATTTTTATATTATTAGAAGCTGAAAATGAATTCAATTGTATATTTAATTGAATTTATAATAAAAAAGGTAAATTTTGTATTTATTTCTTCAGAATTTTCCATCACCTGTGCATAAGTACTGTATAGCAAGACTAAGATCTATCAAAGTTAATCAAACTGTTCATGGTGTTTTGACCAGCTTAAATAAACAAGAAATAGTTTTTCTCCCTATAACACAAGTTGTGATAAATAGGAAACACTTCTCTGAAAAAAAATCATATTGAGTAAGAATTGATTTTACTATCTAACACCTGACTCATGTACAGAAGTTCTGAACAGAAAATACTTCAAATAGTTTATGTTCTAGGATTGGTGAAAATTAAAACTTCCCATATTTGTTGAAACAGCACTTGGCAATTGTTTCAAAAATAGCTTCCAAAACAGTATTGCTTTTCAATGCATTGATCATATGAATTTTCCTCCAATTGATCACATTTTTCAATTACAGTATTCCAACATCATTTTACAGTGACCCAAACTCTTTTAGAATTCTTTGCCCAATAATTCAATGGAAATTTGAAAGAAAACCATAGTTTGAATGCTATTTTCTCCAATACTTTTTCAGGGATGTTTTTGCACTTGGTTTTGGTCCATATCGCTGGGTTTGCACATCAGGAGACCCAAAAGATTTGGAGATAACAGATGAAATTGCAGCTTGTTTGCTGCAAAATTTAGTCGCAGGTATGAAATTGAAAGCACGATTTGACATTCATTCCCTCTAGCTTTCAAAGTATGGATATATTTTTAGATCCACAAGTGGACAAAGATGTGAGAAGCCAGTATGCAGATAATTTGAAATGGGTTCTGGAGGCTGGAAGAAACAAGATGGTGGTTGGTTCTCAAGCAAGAATCTTGTATTCTGACAGAGTTGGTAGGATGAAACTTGCTCAACAGTTCAATGAAGCAATCAAATCCAAGGAAATTAAGGTGATTACATTCCTGAAATCTTATACAAGTTTTCAAAAATAAAGAAATTCTTATCATTTTGTTAAGCAACTTTCCACTGTCAATCTACTGAATCATTAAATGAAACAATACCTTTATACACTGCCTATTTAAAGATTTTGCTTGAAAGACAAACTTGACAGAGTTTGAAAAATGTACTAAGATGTGTTGAATTTTCATTCTACTTTTCTGGATTGTTTTGCAGCACCAGTGGATTTGTTCTTTGCAAATGAGCTTGATTCAATGATGAATAAAAATGTAGCAATTGAAAATAGATTCTGCATCAACTTTGTGTCACAACAGGAACTATTTTGGCCATCATAGCTTTCATGAAGAAGTTTTCAGTCCTCCATTTTCTTGGTAAACTACTGAAAGAACTGGCAAGAACTAAAAACTCTGCTTTCAACAGGATACAGATCCTACAGAAACTTTGTAAATTTTCTTCATTTTGGCATGTTTTTCAAGCTGGTGAAAGACTATTCTATCTGTGATGATGACATTGCATTCGAAAAGCTCTACTATAGTCATCTTCTTGACTTTCATGTTACAGGGACCAATTGTAATAAGCAGAGATCACCATGATGTCAGTGGAACTGACAGTCCTTTCAGGGAGACATCAAATATTTATGATGGATCAGCTTTCACTGCAGGTCAGGTTTTCCCGTTGTTTTTGAATTGTGTAACTCAAGACTGACACTCCTCCTATTTCTGTATGCATGCAAGCAGACATGGCAATCCAAAACTGCATTGGAGATGCATTCAGAGGTGCAACCTGGGTTTCCATACACAATGGAGGAGGTGTTGGGTGGTATGTAATTAAATCATTCATTCTTGTATTGTCAAGTGGAGCTTTTATTTACTTTCCTGCCTTGTTGTTCATGTTTCAAATTATCCTCAAAATACAATAGCTATTGTGCTTCACCAATATTCAACACCCCTTGTTTTAGGGCCTATCGTCAAAAAAGTACATTCCTGCTCTGAATTCCACTTGCAAAAATCTCAAAAATTTTAAACATTGAAAGGCATTTCAATGTAGAAAATCTGCAGAAGATTTAAACCCAACTTTACAGACTTTCATGTATGTTTGTTTACCAAACATTTTGTCTGAATTTCATGATTCTTAATTTTTCAACTCAAATCCAAATCCTCACATTTGAATGCAGATGAAATCTGCATTCAAGATGCTTTTTTCTAGATAGCTTGCTATACAGTAAAATATTGAAATTTTTAAAATGGATTCAATATGAGGTTGCTTCAGTATAAAGCCACCATTTTATTAAAGACTCACCAGAACAGATTTTTCATTACAAAAAGGTTATTTCAAGGTCACAAGGGCTTTTTTATAAAAATATTTTAATTTCATTAGATTTCCTTGTAACCAATTCATAAATTATTTTTTCATTCATTCAAACTTAACCAAATATCATGACATTTTCAATCATAACTTTGTTTTACTCCATAGTTGGCATGTTTGACAGCTATGATAGGTCACCTCCATGTGGAAATTGAACCAACTCAAAAATTACATTCAGACATCAGCATTAAAACTAATGGAAAAATTCCAACAGAACCAAAAATTGCGAAGATTCAATTTCAATTTTTTTGTAATTTTCAATTTCAAGTGTTACAGGGCAACTAAAATAAATAATGTCCTTGAATTTTTAATTTCAGGGGTGAAGTGATCAATGGAGGCTTTGGCCTTTTACTGGATGGTTCAGAAGCTGCTGCCAAAAGGGCCCAATTCATGCTGAGTTGGGATGTGATGAATGGGGTTTCTAGAAGGAGCTGGGCAGGAAGCAAACTTGCTCAAAAGGCCTGCATGACAGCCATGTCTCAGTGCAGTGGCATGAAAATCACTGTCCCCTTTGAAGTTGAAGATGATTCTGTGCTTACTATTGATGGTATTTGATCAAAATATCTCTTTCAAATTAAAAAAAAAATTGTCTCCCATATCTGGGACTCAAGAGACTACACAAATTCATCTCAAAAGTTCTGCGTTGATAGTATTCATTAAAGGGAACTGCTACATCATTTTGATTTTCAAATCAAGGTGCAACCATTATTTTATGGCGATGACAACTTCAATTGTGAAATTTCCAATTTCAATTCCCGCATTGAAAAAGGACTTTATATCATTATTGTTTGCTTTCCATTGATTGAATAAAATTATTGCCCAGAAATGAATCTGAATTTTATCCTGTATCAGCTTTTATTTTATGGGACAAAACTGTATAGGGTTCCTTAAATCTCTACGAACGTTATCAGGTTCCACTACAACAAAGTTCTCTTCACGAAACAATGTTTTTTTTGGGCCCCGGAATTTGTTGCAGTTAGAGTCCATCAGAGTGAATAATATTTTGGTTAAAAAAAACATTAGGAAAAAAGGACTTCTACGCAATTCCAATCAAGAATGAGAAACATACCGAAATCAGCTCTTCCGTAACCTATAGTAAAACAAATTAATCATTAAAGATAAATAAATTCCAGTATATATATTAGCCATAAAAAATTTATTCCAAAAAATTAAAATTAAGCTTCCTCGACAGGAGGAATGCAAGGCATCATCATCATCACAAATCGCAGACCACAGAAAAACTGCTTCCCTCCGATAATCCCCTTCACATCCACGAATGAAAATCACTTTTTTCCATAGAAAAAAAAAAAGAGCAGAGCGCATAAGTTAAAATCTCCAGACGAAGAAAGAAATGTTAAAAAAAAATCTTTCCTCACCGGAATCCGATTGAACAAAGAGAATCCAACGCGTTTAAAAAAAGGAACGGATCCAAAGAAGAAGAATCCGCCTCTCAAGAAGCATCTCCGAAACGTTGGTTCCACGCTTCGTACTTGGCTCGACTATCTTTTGGCACAGAAGGTTGAATCCGTTTCATCGCCATTTCAAAGTCTTTGAAACTTATGGGACGGATTTGATCCTGGGATATTTTACTGAACCTTCTGGTGTCGAATTCCCGAATGGCTTGCATCGACGCATCCTTGGCAAGATTCGTCAGATCCGCTCCAGAATATCCTGATTTAAAAAAATGAACATTATTTTAGACACTACTTCAACCAAAAAATCCTCGAATGGGGCTTTGCTCATAAAATACCACATGTTCCGGAATGGAATAAAATAACAAGCGTTTCGGAGCAGAACTTATCACAAAGATGATCAATTATGGACTATTTCATTCAATTTTTCAATCATTCTCACCTTCAGTCATGTACGCTAGTCTCTCCAGTTCTTTCTGCGACAAACGCTGAATTCGTTGAGCCTTGTCAGCCTGCAAAAAAAAAAAATAATTACAAAATAGAAATTAGATCAACGAAAAAATTTTCCAAGAGCGTCGGCAAAAGCACATTAATTCAACACATTCATTACAAAAAAATTCACTCATTGCGTGTTTTCCTTCCAATAATTAAAATTCTGGAATTTGCTCCCAATTTGTTTGCACATGGATTCTGTCAGGGGCTATTAAGCCTCTCAGACAAAGATTTGAACTTCACTTATGGTCAGTGAAAGAAAGGTATAACACAATCAGCCGTTTGCGGCCTGAGGTCAATACCTCAACTTCAAGTTTGAATATAT